ACGGCGGCTATGCTTCATCTTATCAGTGGGCTGCGAGTGGCCCGCCGGCGGCCCGATTAGATTCTGGTTCGGTCTGACACAAAATATTCACGCCAACGTTTCAAAGCACTAGTAGTTTAATAATATAGAGACATGTTTGGTAATACATTTATACACCTCCCTGCAATTATTATTTATAGCGCAAAACCGGTCCAAGTTAAATTCTGAATTCCGACCGGTCACAGGGTATGATTCTGGCTCTGAAATTATGATTTGGGCCCAGGGTCGCATAGAATCTGGGATTTACAAATGAATTTCTGGCTCACTTAAAGACCATTCAGTATATAATTTATGTTATCTAGTTCAGTGATGTATCTGTGTAATAAATCCTGTATCACATATTTGACTGAGCCTGAACTTTATATGGTGGTTGAGCATTCATTTTGATATTCTGGCCCGCCCTAAAGTTTCGGAAGGCTCTTGTGTGAGATTGCGATCAGCCAGGCACTTGATCGCGTCACCTGTAGATAACGCGTGCTATAAATAGCTTGTCTACCACTGCACCAGCCTGAGCATGCAGCTTCGACTTCATGAAGACTTGAGGACTTGACTTTGCAGAACACAACATGACAGGAGCTCATTTGTGGTATAAATTTGATATCTGGCTCTGGCCTTGTCAGTGTCAGGTTGACTCGAGCCCCAGAGCTCCGTGAGATGACCACTTTGAGTCACAGCCTCCGGTTTCAATCCTCCTCGCTGCCGTCGTGCGGTGCCCCTGTCCCATTTCCTCATAAAAGGCGCTGGCGTGGTTGACATTAACTTGTCTTTCCTGTCTCCTGGTGGTGTGACACTGGACGATGTCAACGGACGAACTGGCAGAAATCAACGGCGTAAAGCCCAAGCAGCTGCTTGCTGACGGGGAGGAGGTCGAAGTCAAGTCGATGACAAGGTATGCTATCCTTGTGTGCGGCCATACCTCAACCACCCATACGTCCCCAGCAACTCACAGTACAAAGTAAAGAGGACTTTCGACCATTACTATTGGTTAGTTTGACTTGCTACCTCACGTTCACCTCTCCCCGTTCTGAAGCGTCCTGCTGCGGCCACTGGCAGTTCATGCCCGGTAAGCAATGTCTTGACGTAGTTTTCTGCTCGCTTAGCCCCGATGTCCCTCATACGTACGTACCTTAGGCATGGAGGAATCAAGTATGTTGTCTCCCTGCTCGTTCCCAACGACTGTCCCTCAAGATGTGTGACCTTTCTGCACGTGTCAAGGGCGGCGCCCCCGTCAACGCGCGCACCTGCAAGCATCTCAAGAGCCTCCTCGGCGAGGCGTACGAAAAAGCGCGTCTACAGCTCAAGAACCCTCACGGGAACGTGTCCAAACCCTCTGGCAAAGGAAAAACAGCACAGAAGCGTAAGAAGGCCGACGGCGACGGCGACGATGACGCGAAACCGGGAAAGAAGCAGAAGAACGTCGATGATGAAGATGAAGAGGAGGATGAGGACGCGCCGCCTGCTCCTACCAGGGGTAAGAAAACGGTCCCAAAACTACTCCTCGCGAACAAGTGGGATATCGTGGACGGTCCTGACCCCACCGGCTGGTGGATTTCTGAGAAATTGGACGGCGTCAGGTGAATATTGATATCACCTTGAGAGTGTCGAGCGGACGTGCTTATAGTGACGTAGAGCGTACTATGACGGCAAGCGCATGCTCAGCAGACTCGGTAACCCGTTCACGCCACCTTCCTGGTTTCTCGATAGTAAGCGTTCCGTCTCCCCTGGCGTACCAACTGTGACGATCGAGGTGTCGCAGAATTGCCGAAGGATGTTACGCTGGATGGAGAAGTCAGTCCACTCTAGCACCTGGATGTGTCTATTGATATTGAACCGGCGCAGCTCTTCGGCGGGCGGGGCGAGTTCCAAGCCACAGTATCTATCGTCAAAACGCTCAACTCCAAGCTCTGGGAGAACATCACCTTCCAGGTCCGTCCTCCTTTCGTCCCTCCCCTTCCCCTCTTCCCTTACCCACCCAATCCCCTCGTAACAGGTCTTCGACGTCCCTTCAATGGGCACCCAGCCCTTCGAGGACCGCATCGCTTACCTCACGCGCACCTTCGGCGCGGGCGGGACGCACGCGTGTAAGGAGGTCGTCGTCGTGCACCACGAGCGGGCCGAGAGCCGCGAGCACGTCCTGCGCCGGCTCAAGGCGGTCGAGAAGGAGGGTGGGGAGGGGCTGATGCTCCGCGAGCCGGGGTCGTGAGTGCTGCGCGGTGCCGTGCGAGATTCAGTGGTTGACTGATGGGTATCGTGTGGCAGGGTTTATGAGGGACATCGGTCCAGCACGTTGCTCAAGATCAAGGTTTGCACTTTGCCTGGCTCAAGCTCAGGCTCGCATTGATCTTCCGCACGATATCAGACGTTCTACGACGCTGAAGCTGTCGTGACGGGCTACGTCCCCGGGAAGGGCAAGCACAAAGGCAGCACGGGCGCGCTCAAATGCAAGATGGCTTCGGGAAAGGTCAGTTGTCCTCCGCAGCGATGCCCTACCGCGCTCACAGGCCCCACAGGCCTTCAGCGTTGGGAGCGGGCTGAGCGACAAGCAGCGCCGGAGCCCGCCTAAAGTCGGGGCGATCATCACGTATCGCTTCCAAGAGCTCACCAAGGACGGCGTACCTAGGTATGATTTGTTTTCCAAACGACGTAACAATGAGACTCAACTTTCGGAAGGTTCCCGACGTTCATAGGGGAGGCTATTGACAAATCTGAGCCCAAAGATGCTGAAGTACCGGCTTCACGCATAGTGAAGAATGCTACGAGTGCATAGTGATGCTCCAAAGATACCCGAACCCTACTCTACATGTCACTCTATATTGAAACACTCATATGTGGACTACTGACCAAAATATTGTTGTGAGGAAATAGTCGTGTTTCATTCTACTTGCTTCCACATAGCTTCCAACTGCGCAACCTCCATCATCTCTCCGCCGCTCACAATCGACATGCCCATAGCCGCTTGGCTCTGCTGCGCAGCATGCGCTCCCGCCATCGTATTCCACCCATACCCCACCGACGAATTCCCGTAATGCGCATGATGCCCGGTCATGCTCGCCCCTACGATTCTGTCCCCGCCCATGACCATCGACGACGCTATCAAATTCGTGGTCTTAATGGACGCGCGCGCCTTCGTCAACGCGACGATGAACTGGCAGCGCGGCACCGTGGCCTCGTACACCTGGCGACGGTGCTGCGCGAACGTGGTGAACAGCGTGATATCGCGCTTCTCGCACGCTTCCTTCCAGAGTGCGCGCATCCGCGGGGAGTACAGCTCGCACATGCATCCTTTCTCCACAAACTCGGCACGCGCTGTGATTTCGTTGTCCAAAGCAGTACCTTTGGCAACGTCGGTGTAGCATTCTTCGCAAGCGGTGAACGCCCCTGGGATGCCCCACCACCTGGAATTGGTGACTGCAGTCGACCCACGACAGATGGGCATGTTCGCCTTGACTTTGACGTAGTCTGCGAAGACGCAGTAGTCGTCCATGTCGACGGCTCGAGCGAACTTCACCCTGAACTCGCGAGCCCGAGGGGCACCGTCTGTGAAGTCGCAGATTCGGGCAGACCCAGGCGGGTAGCGCCGCAGCTTGAACTTCTGGGCGAACGATGGCCATGGACGGACCCAGCAGTAGAAGCAGCCGGGGCATATATCGAAGTTTTCACACCCCTCCGCAAGAACATACCACCCGTCATATTCAACGCCTTCCGCCGTGCATGCTGCAGTTGTCGCCACGACTCTGGTGGCCTCCCACCATACTTGGAACGGCAGCTTCTCTTCCAGCATGACATCCCATGTAAGCTTTATCTTGCTAATGGCCAGGCAGCACTTCCATTGCTGAGTAGCGTGAGACATGAAAGACGTCTGCACCGGTTCGAAAAGGTCTGCCCATCCGGAGAAAACGATGTGGTCATGATAGCATGCATCGCAGACGTATGCATCCGGAATGTACGACCTGGGTTTGAACCACTTCCTCGCGGTCGCGCTCTGGAGGCCGTCTCCCGGACAACCTGGAATACTCTGCCGGAGCCTCCAGATATCCACAAATCCGCGCCAGTACCCTTGTCTTGAATACTCCGTGAGAGCTGTTCCAAAACATGGATGGGCAATATCACAGACCCAGGTATCGCCAGGAGCATGCTGGTGAAGATTGAGTGTGAAATAAGCGGCAAAAGACGTCGAACAGACGATATCTTCGTAGCAGGCTTCGCACGCGACGAATTCCGCCAAATCATGATTTGAATACCACTTCAGCCCCTGTCCTCCTTTCACCCCTTGCAGACCGTGACACGCCGGTATTTTGACGCGCCGTGCCATATATGAGAGAGCTACATCGAGATTCCTCGCGCTCACCGCCTCGTCCCAGACCTGTAGCATCCGGGGGCGATTGAAGTCGCAGCATGTCAGCATCCCAGGCTGTGTCCCGGGGCGTGGCTTGAAACGATCCCCAAATGCTGTTCGCTGTACATGGCTTGTATAACATTCTTCGCAAATGTTGAACCCCGGTACAGAGTCAATGTTATACCAGGTACACCAATCCACGTATATTCCTTTGGGGCATATTCTGCGTGACCGAGAAGATTGACGAGCAGGAGGGGAAGGTTCCTGATCTCGAGGTGGTCGCTGAGATGATTCTCCTGGCTCATGAGTGGCTGCTGAGGAGTAGGGACGCGGACTTCTTCTTCCCGCCGAGGCAGGTCCCGAACTGCTTAAACTATCATTTTGCCGCCGTGGCATGGAAGTGCCATCATGCTGCCTGCCGTCGCGTGGACCCGTGCTTACGGTGTCGTGAGGTCGTGCACTTCGTCTTCCCTCGTGCACTGCTACTGTTAGTAAGGCAGGTCCAGGGTACGCAGTCGACACCACAGTCGACTGGTCCGGTACAGTGATGGGGCAGATGTCAGTCATGGTGGACCAGGGCCGATTGGGGAGGGGCGGGGGTGATCCATGTTCTTCAGGGGGGTCCGGCGAGTAAGGGGGAGGTGCTGGTTCGTCCTCTGGTCTTGTATACAACTGAGCAAAATGCTCCGCAAGGTTAGATAACTCTTCAGCAGCGTGGGGAGGCTGAGACGGGGCATGATGTTGGGGGGGCTTGGAAGGTTGTGCGAGAACATCCGTAGGCCGGCTCTGCGAGGGTACGGGAGGCCGCGGAGGAACCGTCGGGCGAGGCGGAACCGGAGGCCTAGAGTGCGCGGGTGGATGAGGAGAAGCAGAGGGCCGGGGAGGGATTCGAGGAGGAGAAGGCGGTCCCCTGGCAAGGTAAGGATGGCGAGGCGGCAATGAAGGACAGGGAACGGCCGGCGGTGACCCTGGAATAGTCCCATGGTAATAGCTCATGAGGCAGCAATTGGAGGTCTGTGTGACGTCCCTCCCTAATGCAGCGCCAATAGTACTAGTTGAAATCCTGTTATAGCTTCACGGGAGGCCATGACCACGAGAACTTCAGCTTTCCTTATTTGATTCATGACTCTCCAACTCACCTGCGCAGGCCCAACAGGGAGATGTCTGGGCTGGTCAACGAGAGTCGACGTCTTCTATAATATCAGGGGAGGTGCTGTTTGAATATGTAAGGAGTCGCGGCTTCATGATCGCTAAATAAGCTGCCCCGGTTGCGAGACCCAGGCACCATAATGAATAGCCTTCCTGGATAAAACACAACCTTTGACGGTTCGGAACTGTCAAAGGGCATGCTATACCATGGCCATCATGGCCCCTATAATCACCGCAATTTAATCGTCTCTGGTAAGGACAGGACATATAAGTTCCTGGGAAGGAACAGTGCCGAGTCCTCGATAAGGCGGTTCGCCAGATGCCTTCGGCATATTGTGTCTGTTCCAAGTTGGACCCAAGCTGTCAGCGGACTGCGACGAGTGTATGTACAGCCATGAGCAACTTTCGCTGCCAGTGGCCGTTAGGCCCAAGCTCGAAGCTTGACGATGAGTCAAGGATCGTGGTAGTGCTGTGGGCAGAATTCCGGGGAGGGCTTTCTGCCATCTGCCAGGCAGAATGGCAATTGCCAGGTGGCAGAAGAGTGGCAGATGTCCTCGAGCTCACTACAAGGAGGAAAAACATGATTTAATAGGGTTTGCCGGTATTTCCTCAAGCTCTTGTGGTATTTGATGCCCCTCAGGGCATTTGGAGATAGTCCGAGCTTGGTCTGTCATGTTCTCTCATGTGGCTGGACATGCCACCCAACTCCGGTGATTGCCGTGACAAACTCTGAGACGTCCTTGACCTCAAAACATCGCAAGGTATCCGGCGTAGATGCTTGGCCCACGTCTCTGGACCACTAGCGATGTCATTGATGGATTAAAACTCCGGCCAAACAGCCAAGTATGGCAGTTAAGTTATATATAGTGGTATATCTGCCACCCCTTCCGTTCATTTCTGCCATCTGCCATGGCAATTTCTAGGTAGCACAAATGTGACGTCTGCCTGGCAGCATTCTGCCAACAACACTAGATCGTGGCGAGCGGCCCTTGCAATTGCTCGAGCGGCGTTCAACGCACTCGTTTGCGCATATCATAACGTTCTCGCCCAGATTCCCTGTCGAACGTTACATTCACCCTGGACCCGTGCAGCGGTCGTATGTAAGTGCATTAGAAAACAGTTCCTGTCCGTAATTATATACACCGAGATAACAACAATGAATGACTAGGATAATCAAGGGACTGGAGGCTTGTTATCCTTTTGAGCTATGGGGATCATGAGTTTATGTTCCCAAGATAGCTAATCACCAGGTACTTACCCATGGTGATCCGATCACCGAGCGACAATGCAATTCCTTGCGTTTTGCTGCGAATACGTACATGTCCCGTAAGACCGGTTTCGCATGTCTCGACGCTGAGGTTGGCCAGCGCATCCTCACCTACAGATGCGGTGAGAATACCGCATAGGATGGAGGTCGAGTAACTTACCGAACAGGCTGCGAGCGTACATGTTGGCCGAGAGGAAACCACAGTCGCCAGACATAGCACCCTCCGGAGTGAGGCATGACATATTCGTTGACTGCATGATGTGCTTCAGGTACTCTCGTGGATCACTGCAGGCCGACAGTTATCATAGCAAGCCGTACATGAAGCTGGGCACTTACGATATCGACGTGTTGACGTTAACCCGATTCTCCCATTCAAACTCTGTCCACATAGCTCGGAACTACGGCAAACGCATTATTGAGATAGTTAGGATGAAGTCGGATTGACGACATACCTGACCCTCCGTGCAGTACGCGGGCTTAATGTAATCCATGATGTCGATATGGATGTCGTTCAAGATCACGCAAGATTCCGACATATTGGGGCCCTCCCATAGTATACTTCCAAAGATGACACCGGTCTCTGTTGACGAGACCTGATACAACAGGTCAGAGCAAGTCAACCACGCAGAATTCATCCCACTTACCTTGATGGTCGCCTTTATGCTTTGGAAACTGTGCGGTGCGATGGTATACACTGATGGCCGTTCTACCAGTTTTAGGTCCCCTAGAGTGGCGAAATCCAGGCAGAGGTTTTGAAGTGTGTTCGGGGTCTGGTTGACCAAAAGTACATCTATGGTATTCACAATGAAGCATAAGCTCACAGCGTAGTCCACGCTGGGACTTACCAAGAAGAATATCGAAGCCTTGCACCTTGACATACGCCTCAGCATATATAGGATCAGAGAAGCCTACGTTAAAGCTTATCAGTATAGCAACAAAGAATCATGAATCCAGGACTGTCACAGACCGGTTAACTGAGATATACGGCTAAGGTTGGAGATGAAGTCTTCCTGAAGATCGCCGGACCCTGTAGCCTTGCTAATATCCTCATCGAACTGTGGGCATAGATCAGCATCGAGCGGCCCTTTATTTCAACCATGGCACACACGTCTATGATATCGTCCGCGGCCTTCTTTGAGAATTGCCTGAAAGTCAAGAGGTCGTCCACCTGTACGATAGCTTCCTTGGTTGTCTCTGCAGCTTTCTTCTCTGCGGCGCGCTTCTGTAACAGAACATCAGAATTTCACGTGGACTGCTCGGGGACTAGCTATACTACCTCTTGAGCGGTGAGCATGTAGCTGTATGCGGACCGCGTATCATGCAAGAAGATCTCGTGTACAGGTGGTTTCTCCTCCAATTCACTCAGAGTTTGAATGCAGTTTAGAATGCGCTCTAGTGAGTCCTCGTCAATGGGGTGCGTCACAAATTTCGATTGACCCGCGCGGATAATGGAAGTCATCATAAGCATAGCCTAGTAATAATGCCATAATCAGATGATGCTGTCTGGTTAAAAATAGGAGCCTGACCTCAGCTTTCAGTGAGTTTGCTCTCTTCCGGTCTGTCGAGAGTTCGTCGAATCGCATGACTAACTTGGTAAGTGCGGCAGCTAGGATGGCACCAGTGAAGAAGTCGCCGCCCAGAAGAAGTGCTACGAGAAGCATGGTGCATGGGTTACAGTAGCTTCTGCGGCAGCACAAGACATGACTTACTTCGCAGAGGAGGCTTAGCTGCAGCCCTGACGGCTTCCAACTTCGAGCTGCTGGTGCTCGTAAAAGCCGTCTCGGTCGCGTACGTCCCATCCGCCAGCACTCTCGGCTTCCCACTGGGTACAGCAGTACCATTCGGCTTTCCGTTCTCCTTTGCAGCGTCAGTTTCCCCGTCGGGAACGGTCTCCTCCATGAGCTTTTGCTCTGCCGACAATATAGGGATTTCACCGATAATTTGTCGGATACCCTGCAAGGTCTCCGTTATCCCAGGAACATTCTCTACATACTCTCCCAATATCCAGAAAACGCCCCGGAATACTTTCGCAGACTTCATCTCGGGGAGAGTTTGGATGAGGCGTTCACAGACGGTCTGGCGCAGGCTGGGGAACTTCTCGACGACCTCCCTAGAAACGTTATCCTGCTATGAGTGAAGACCACAATACATATTGTTGTATGTACAGACCGGACGAAGGCCACGACGTCCAACGCTGACGGGTTGTTGGAGTCCCCAAGGAAGTCCATGAGCGCATGCACAACACTGGCAGCAACTTCTGAGAACTTGATAGCGCATACATGAATGGACTGGATGAGGAGCTGTCTGTATTCCGAATTCTGATAGTGATGACATTAGATTACGATCTCTGACGATCTCTTAAGAAAAACAGTAACGTGCCTTCTCGAAGTCCTGCTCCTGGGTTCGCTGCAGTTGCTTCTTCAGGAATAGTACGACCTCCTCGACGTTCCGGCTTGACACCATGCGTAATACGAGGCTCATCGCCTTCCGTCGTACTTCCATGTCCGCGCTACGGGACATGAGCTGCTGTGCATGCGATCCTACAATAACCCTTTACCTTGATAAGACCTGGATGACATCCATGACCAAACCATCTAATACGTGCCCGTGTTTTGAGTACAAGGCATCCAGGCGGTCCAGGACGATCAGTTTGACGTTGTTGTCGGATTCCTTGACCGCAAGGTTGATAAAGCAGGAGGCGGCAGCTTCCATGTTTGTAAACCATTAGTGAACTACGCAAGACCGCGTGGCAAAGTTCCGAACGACTTACCTTTGACTGCTGCCGGGTTTTGTGTCAGGGTGGTCAATGTCGATGCAGCCTCGTATCTTACAGTATGCGAAGACGCGTTGACGAGTTCGAATATGCAGCGTATCCACCGTGACTGAACAGCTCTGAGAATCCCTCGATCCAAGAGGAGCAGGGAACTAAATACGCACGCGATGTGTCGAATCCGTCTTACAATCCAACCGAATGACTTCAATCACGCTCATCTGTAGCAGTTCGTCCAAGGTCGAAATCTGGTCATACACCTGTAAAATGTATTGCACGGCTTTGTCCATCGCGCAGTTCGCCAGGAACACAAATGCATTCCTCTTGCACGTCGCGTCCGACTCCGCGGCGAGGAACGTCTGGATCAGCTCGGGGGCATCAGGAATGAGGTGTTCAAATGAGCGGTATATGGTGTAGACGGCGAATACAGCATTCTTGCGGACGTAAGAGTGACGGTGCTCAAGACAGGCGCGGCAAGTGGGGATGAGGGGTTCTAGCAATTCGGCGTCTTTCGAGATCTTTTGTAGGAAGCGAAGAGTTGACCCCCGGATGTACTCGTTCGGATGTTGCTGAAATATGTTTGAACGTGAGCCGTGATAAGTTAGGAAACTCAGAAACTCACAAGGTCATTCCGGATGGCGTTACTGAGTTCATGTCATAGCTCAGCTTGGCTGTCTTATACGGTACAAACAGTACTAGACGTACACCACCAAGATCATCTCTTGCTTGAGCTTCCCCTCGTCGTCATATTTGGGGCAGACTTCCCAGTAGAAGTGCAATAGCTTCTTCAGCTGCTTATTCTTCGAGGGCATAACATATTGGATTACAGGCATCAATAGTTGCGGCTACCCGTCACATCACCGAGCTTAGTGTTCGCTAAGGCACACATAGTAAATACGGGCACACCTGAGGATTCCCATTAATGGTGGACACTATAATCCTCCTTAGAGTATCCAGCTTCACTTCATCTGAACCCTTCTGCAACGCGGTGCGAAGCTCCTGTGTCGTAGGAGACTCTGCATGATCGTCGCTGACAATCGTGTAGCATGTTGAGTCCGCTGCCGACATGGGGGAAAGCTAGGATACAGCCCAGTAGAGACGTTCAGGACGCGACGGCCAGCGAGCCGGACTTTGGAGATTCCAGGCAGCGGACATGGACACGACATACACTGTTACCATTTCCGGAAATGCGGTGCGTGGAAATATTGGTTCAGCGGTGGACTTCGTGAACCGTGTGTCCTCAGAGCGGTGGCGGAACTTGCCAAGCACTCTATGGTAAAGCACTTGTTTACATCATGTCCCAAGCACAGGACGACCAGCTCATAGAGCTGCTATTGCAACTGAGGGTAAGGCTTCACTATGTATCAAAGGCTGTGATTTATCTCAGTGCTTCCTCCCAAGAAAACTACTCCAGAACAAGCCCGCCAGGTCCTCAATGCTCAGCCGCAGCTATCATACCTCTTGATTAGTCTCATGGTCAAGATGAATGCCATAAATCTGGAGGCACTTCAGGTACGCCATAAGCTCTGGCCATACCTGGACTATCGAAGATCAATGGTGTTCGGACTTTACGCCCAGAAAACCCTCGCATCCTACATCCCAGCTACAGGTCAGCCAGCGGCGCCGTCTGTCCCAGGCACAGCTGCTGTACCGCCTTCAGCAATTCCGCCTCATGTAGCAGCGTCGTCTCAGTACCGCACTGCCACTCCTCCGAACGTGCCTGTTCCTCCGGCAAGCTTTCAGCCGCCCCCGTCCTCGGCCTATCCTCCGTACCATGGTGCGCCTCCCACCAACACGTATGGCGCCCCCGGTGGTTTGGGGGGCCCTCCACCTTTACCAGGATATCCGGCCGCGCCAGCCCCGGCCCCTGCGCCAGCCCCCGCAATCACAGCGGATGCTCTAGCAGCGATGCCTGAGCAACAAAGGGTACGTTGAAGTTCTTCACTATTCTGGGCTATACCGATAATACTTTCTGATATCAAGGCCATGATAACGCGTATTATTACGATGACTCCGGAGACCATTAGGGCGCTACCGCCGCACGAGCGAGATCCGATTAACCAAATCGTAAGCATACATGCCCTTTTCCTACGTGATTCTCCTAACTCCCATTACACCTGGTATATTAGCGAGCAACTCTTGGCCTGCCAACTGGTTGATATTTCGGTAGTGCTCAGTCGTACTCCTCTCATCTGTCGGAGTATGCTGGTCTCTTCCAGCCCCATGCAGCTGTCGGATAAAGATGATCGAAATATCGCCACAGGGAGTCGGATTCGATCCACGACATCAATCGACTGGTACGCCTTTAGAACGTAGGTCATCTTTGGCCATGGTGATTTCCTGGATAGTCGGGCCAGTTCAAGTAGGTTGGTGGGCAGTGCGGCGATGTGAGTTTGATTTTGCAACACCGATGTAGATAGCAAATGTTCTGGCGGTAAGTCACCAGGACTAGGACATGACTGCGATGTTGGACGCACCTTGAGTAGCTCCTCGTACGCGTCTGGACAGTCTCTGAACGTCCATAGTCCCCAGCCAAGTGACCACAATGAATATGACCCGAATGAAACCAATAACCACCAGGGCAGCTTTATGGCAGAGTAGCTTAGTATATCTCACTCACGCCACCGGTATGTACTGACCACTGGAAGGATCTGCTCGGTTACCGACTCCTCGAAGAACGGCACGGGAACAATGGAGAAAAATGCCAGGAGGTATGTCGTGACAAGAATTAGTGAGAGTGCGAAGAAACGCGTTGCTCGGGTCATGACGGTAGAGACAGACGATGGTAAGTGTCCTCCAGTGCTGCAGGTGTAAGGAGAGCAGCTGAGGTTGAGGTGGCGGATTTGGACGTGATGTTACGGCAAACCAGTAGAAAGCCGGATCTCCCACGCGGTTTGCTTGCGATTGTGGCTCGGGAAGGGGAATAATTCGAGTTATGAATCCCAAGGCCTGAGGCCCGAGAATACATCGGTAAAGTTTATAATCAACTGCTGTTACATGCGCTACTCGTCTACAGACGTGACACAGACCTATATACAATATGAACCCCGCGTAAACGCAACGCGGCCAGGTGAAGTCTACGTGCTTACACGCCGACAAGTTTGGCCAACTGGCCCTGGCTATCCAGAGCAGTCACGGCATCGCATCCTGGTAACGATGAGTAAGGTAAGACGCCTATCAAGTCATTGAAATGCATACCTCCGACATGCTTCTTGTCTAGAGAGAAAAAAATGCGCACGTCAGAGACTGAACACCAGACGAAGGCCTGGAATGCGTACTGATGAAAATATTAGGCACGGTTCTCTGGCCCGTCTTCTCGGTCAGGTAATCCTGAATGTCCGAGCCCTCAGACATCTCGTCGAGCCTGGATAAACGGGGAGACGATAAGAGCGCGTTCAGGGCATGCATATCGCCAGGTACGCACTCGTAGATCTTCGTAGGGACGTTTGGGAACTTGGAAGTAATAAGAGCCTTTGCACGCTTGCAGTATGGGCAGTAAGACTTGGAAAAGATGGCAATCGTGTTGTCGTTGATTGTAGTCTATCGATAACGGCGTCGTACCCGTCAGTAAAGCAGACCGACACGCGAAAGGATCTGCGCACCTCGACAAGGTCTTTGACCGCCATGACTCTACGCTGGTATGTTGAGGGGTTGGATGAAGATGCAGTGGAATACAGATTGACTGATGGGGGGATACGGCTTGCGACCGCTCTATATATGCTGGAAAGCATCGGTGGCTGGCTGACTCTCTTACGGAGACTCTTGAGCTCGTCATATCCACGTGACCAGAGGGATCGGGCGTGCAACCGAAGCCGATCGCGACGCGCTTTTCGAAACAGCAGCTCTTTCCGACCTTCTCTCGTCCAGTAGGCCCTATAGCATGTCATTTTCAGCAGCTTCGTCGACGTTGGTGAAGACGGTTTGCCGCTGTATGGAGCGGATTGCTCCATTGCGTCTAGCGGAGTCCTGGGATAACGTCTGTCCTATCCAGCGCGTCAATCGATAAGTTAGCTCATACTAAGAATATCAGGTCGGGCTATTGCTAGGTTCGACCATCGAAGACAGTCCCTTCTACCTTACTGAATCGGATGTCTTCCAGAGGCACCTTTCCAGCGTGCAGGGAATCAAGTGATGCTCACCATCGAGTACGGTAGTCTGACTCGGACGAGTTCACTCTCTGAATTGATGCCTTGAGTGCACAGCGTCACACCACCCGTCGTCGAAGAAGCACTCGCGTCCAAAACAGCGTGCATTATATCTTATCACCCAACGCTGTTCAGGCCCGTAAAGTCGATGACCCTGGCTACCCCGACGCAGGCTTCCCTGCTTCGCCTTGCTGCTGCGGGTATATCCGTGTATTCCCCCCACACAGCCCTTGACAGCGTGCATTTGGGGATCAACGACTGGCTTGCGATGGGCCTGATAGGGGTCATGACCAGTGATAAGTATGAAGTCAAACCGATAGGGGACATGAAGGACGGGGGAGCGGTGGGGCGTATAGTCCCGCTCGGCGAAGGGGTTGAATTCAGTGCCTTGGTGGAACAGGTGAAGAGAAACTTGGGGTTAACGCAAAGTAGGTCTATAACTCCGGTCATGTCTCTGCAGTTGCTCAGGTTTCCGTTGGCTATATAGTTCAGGTCGCCTATCCGTATTCACGGCCATCATCAAAGGTCAGCTCTGTCGCTATCTGCGCCGGCTCTGGGGCATCCATCCTCCTGGGGTCAGATGCGGATGTGTATTACACAGGTGAAATGTCTCACGTGGGTTTCTTGTACTCTCTTGCCCTCTACAACGATTGAAGATAATCCTGCAGCATGAGGTCCTTGCTGCTATCAGCGCAGGGAAGTACGTCATCCTCTGTGGACACACGAACACGGAGCGCGGCTTCCTGCCGACGCTCAAAGGCAAGCTGGAGGAAACTGAACTCGTCTCAGAGCTGAAAATGGATATCGTTGTTAGTAAAGCAGACAGACACCCCGTGGACATCGTCTGAAAGCATGCACCGGCATTCAGTCTCCATGAACCGCTACAATATCTCAGCGGGCGTTTCAAATGATGATTCCGATAATTAAGATCGTGTTAATTAGGGTACACGAACCATGGATACATCTTTTGAACCGGAAACAGCTCTAACGGTCAACCTCACTATAGGATAAGTCAGGTCAGTACACATGTTCCAGGAAGATATCATTATCCGCAAGATCCGCTATGGAAAGCCACTTACCCGAACACGAGATCCTGATGCAGCACTCAGTAAACCCTGCAGGGCGACGATAATAACGACGACTTACCATAGTTCCAATGATAGCGACAGCATCGGCGATGTAGTGCTAAAAAGGCCAAAGGGGGAATCAATCAGTACTAGCTCTTATGGAGGGTTAGCTTGCCTCACGTCTACGAAACGATGATGTTAGCCTCGGGCCGGAAGATACTTGGACACAAAACTTACTCCGCATCATCATATCCGCACCAGCCAAATGAGCGAAACCGGGGGCACGGATACTACACCGGTACGGACGATTCGTGCCGTCCCTTTAGATCGCAAGGCCGACATAAACACATATTAGTACGAGTCCAGGAGCTGCACAGACGCTGGGAAATACGCACGAGACGAGGTAAACACCCATCTCTCCTTTCGGAGCTTCGATGGCAGAGTACGTCTCACCGGGTGGCACGGAGTAGCCTTCGCTGAAAAGCTACAGCCGACATCGTCAATACAAAATTACATGCAGTGGCAAGGAGCACTTGTTACCTTGAAATGGTGGATAAGGGACTCCATACTCTCCTTCATCATGGCCCGAGGAGGGGGTACAAGCTTATGGTCGTCAACCTTGATAGCACCGGTCGGCATTTTGTTCAGACACTACAACAAAGCTGTCTGCATTAGGGCAACTAAGCAAGAGAGACATTTGTATGCTAACCTGGTGAATAATACGCAAACTCTCTCGGAATTCCTGGACGCGACAGAGGTAGCGATCATAGCAGTCGCCGTTCTTGCCGACGGGCACATCAAACTCAACCTAATAAACCAGTGAATAAGCGACCAACACGAATCCAATCAGCACGCACCTCATCGTACTTGTCGTACGGCGCGACCTTCCTCAAATCCCACGGAACTCCGCTTCCTCGAAGCATGACACCAGAAAAGCTGTAATCCATGGCCTGTTTGGCGGTGACCTTGCCGATGCCGATTGTGCGCTCCTTCCAGATTCGGTTTCCGGTGATGACTTCCTCGATTTCATCGACACGAGAGCCAAACTGGGTGGCCCATTGGAAGATGTCATTCAGAAGTCCATGCGGAATATCAAACGCGACACCGCCTGGGCGGACGTATGCAGCATGCAGACGAGCACCAGACACACGCTCGTAGAACTCCATGAGCTTTTCACGCTCCTCAAAACCCCACAGGAAAGGCGTCAGTGCACCGACGTCCATGGCATGCGAAAGGACAGCCATCAAATCTAGGCCGGTCCGGTAAACTGCCGCTCTGACAACTCAATCGAAAGACGTACGGTTCAGGATTCGAGTGATCTCCCCGAACATAGTACGAATCCACTTTGCACGCTCAGGAACTTCGATGTTCAGGAGCTTCTCCACAGCCAAGGAATAACAAAGTTCGTTCGTCACTGAAGCAAGATTTGAGCGAGACGCGTAGAATGCAATGATACATACGCACTCATCGATACATAGTCTAAGCGATCGAAATATGGTAAAGCTTGAATGTAAGTCTTGTACTCAATAAGTTTCTCCGTCCCGCGGTGAAGCAAACCGACATGCTATACGGATACTCCGTGTAAATTGGAACTGAGCCGACGAGGAGACAGAATTACCCACCGGGTCTGCACGAAGAATCTCTTCTCCATTCAACTCAAGGATCAAACGGAGCACGCCGTGAGCGGCTGGGTGCTGGGGGCTATTCACGCAAGTTTGTACTATAATACTTCGTGCCAAAGACCTGTACTTACCCCATATTCACTAGAAGAATCCACCGCAACCCGTCTCAGCATCAAACACGACGCAACGAGGACAGCTACGCACCAGTAAAATGCCTCATCTGTCTCTCTGTTCTTGAACCCGTCTCTTTCAGGATCTCGTGCGCGGGCATACCGTGCAAGTCCTCCACTGTATGCGAGCTGAACACATCTTTAGTCCCTCCAGCTGGAACCCCCGAAGTATCTGCACCAGAGCTGGTCGTAGTCGCGAGAACCGGGCTAGTCGTCGAGATATGACGCCTGGCAATGTTACGGGTTGACCGCCCTAGCTGACGACGGAGGAGTGCGGAGGCCATGGCGGTCGACGACGAAGACGGTTTGCCTGACGTCGAGCGGAGGGCTCCGGAGGACGGCCGGTCAAACGATCGGCCAATCGGGATTCTCACGTTACTTGACGCTGTCTTCTAAGTATACGAGTTCGACATGGCTGTCCATTGCAGTCGTGCGCGGCTATGACACTTGTCTTATAGGATGGCACGTTCACCGCTATTGAACCTGTTTCTGCTGGCGGTCTTATGTCTTCCGTACACCGTACGCGGGGACGAGAAGCCTTGCACTTACCACGACGGAGGCAGGTACTATGACCTCAGTCGGCTCTCATCAAGGTAAATGCTCTCACAAAGCTACAAAGCACGACTAAACTGTTCAATGATTCCGACAGTAAGGACTACGTGTATAAAGCTCCAGATGGCTCTGAATACTACATGAACGTCTGTCGGAGCGTTACTACCGAGACCTGGGCTATCGAGGATGAACAGAACGTTGCGGTCTTCAGGAGAACCAAGGAAGAGCGAGGCGATCTTTCGCTAGGGTATATATGTTTGCTCCACGCGGGACTCATATCTCACTGACGCGAAGCGCACCAGATCAGTGAACACTACCCTAGCCGTTCACGACGGCCATCCACTTTTATACTTGACTAACGGATCGCCATGCCCAAGTATACCCCAATTACGTGCCGCCTCTGTTATAAGATTCATATGTGATACATTCGTCTTTGAAGCTGGTATGAGGTTCTCCCGGGGGTTCGTACGGAAATATCATTAGCATTTGCCCTTTGCCAGGACAGCCGCAACTTATCGCTGAACTTCCTGGCTGTTCATTCTTTTTCGAATGGCGCAGTCATGTAAGAGCTATACTTGCACATTTTTCGTCCGGGCACTCACAGATTCCCGCAGTATGCCTGCCAAACGAACGAGCCCAACGGCTCCGGCGGCGTCGTAGTAATCCTCGGGACGATGTAGGGATATTGCTGCCCCATTCCGCAGCCTTCTAACGTATAAACTTCAGAGCGTTGATTCTTATGATGGGATACCTCGTGGCCGGGACGTTGTATCGCCGCTTCGTTCTCAATCTCCGCGGTTTCGATCAGGTCCCCCGCATATCGTTCTTTTCCCTCACGGATACTTTGGAACTCTGCAGCAAGGTTACGGACCTAGTCCTGCCTCGACCAGCACCCTACTCCGGTCCGAACTCTTTCAACCACCAGCACAGCGCGTGGAACGCCGGACCGAGGAACGGAGGTAGACCTTCGGCGGGATACGAACGGCTGGCAGCCTCTGATGAAGAGCGGCAAGGGATGCTACACGGAGATGAAGATGATGACACTCAAACTGATGCAGATGTGAGGGCGGACCATGCGCCGAAGCAACCGACAGAGCGTGCGTAGGACATGAAACGTGTATCCCGTTAAGCTTATTGTCTAGCTTTGTGTTCCGTGATAATGAACGTGTGCTGTGGAGGAAGATTTCGTGCTTCATACATCAATACTCGGGCATCGGTGCGGCTCCATTCGTCTCTTTGTTTGTACAACTACCTTTCACCCGGCCTTGTCTTATTCACCTCGGCGTTGTCAGTCTATCCTTTCCAGGTTTGTACTGTCCGGCGTTCCGGTGAATCTTATGGACACTCAGGAGAGCGAGCAACGCAGGATAACACGTCTCCGACCTTCCGCAGCATGCCGGCATCCAAATGCTGATGCCGCCGAGGTCGCCGAATCCTCAGCGTTGCATTCACGATCTTGCTCTTGGGATTCAGCTGTTTGTGCGTGGTGAACCAGCCTCCGAAGTCAGGCAGGTCTCGGGACAGGTCGGGATCCAACAGTCCCCCTCGCAGATCAAATAAGCTATCCGTGATGCGAGTTAAACTTTCAGTTCAGTCATCTACACGAGCGTCGGTTGCTTTTGAGCTTATCGAGGAGGAGTGAGACATCACCCGCTTCTTGTGCTCCCGGGAGAGCATCTTCTATCGTAAGTCATCAATATGCATTCGGATGCTAATACAAGGTCAAGGGATGGTACCTATAACCTACTCCAACTGGGGCTGAGCCTCCCATGACTGTTGAACGGTTGAAAGTGTTAACGAGCTTGCATTCCGACTTCTGCTATTCCGACCTGCGTACGGTGTCGGGCCACTGATCACCATTGTCCAGGAATGGCGTCAAAGGAAGAGAGTCCGACCTCACATAGGTCAACAAGGTATCTGGGCGAATAGAACCCCCCCCCCCCCCCCAACCACCCATGCCTGGTCAAATCCCATAAGTGACCGTACGTACTGAAATGCTCATTCGCAAGCCTGGGGAGAGCGGGTCCGTTTCCTCGCCGATAATCGTAATCGTTTAGGGTGTCACCATGGTGCCAATAAAGCGGCGAGAAGGGTGGTCGTCAAGTTACCTAAGAAGACATCCTGTGTAACTCCCTGGGACCAGGTACAGTACTCGCAACACAGGCATACTGCTACATGTAGTCCAAATAACATGACCTTTCGATTCGGAGACCTTACTGAGTCTCTTCGTGAACCGACAAAGTACGATAATCAGCATTCCATAGCTTCCTCATCCTGACGAAGAGTGGCCAACACACGCTGAATCACATTGCAAAAGAAGGGACGCCTGCAGATTACATCAACAAGCTCGTACGCTAAACATGTCAATGACGGCCTAAACAACTGCGATAAAGTCCAAATACAGTCCGAAAATGTTCGTGAAGTCCGCGAGTCCCGAGAAAGAAAGGGATGTCCACCGGGTAGGCGAATAAATCCTTTTTCATACTCAGAGGGCAACGACAGCAACACCCGCAACCCCAGCGAGGAGCATGGCAGCGTAAGATGCGGCAGAGCCGAGATTCAACTGACCAACGGCTCCAGAGAAGCTGCTTACACTGGTCGTGGCGGCGGAAGAGGTAGAGGATCCGGATGGCGACGTGGCGGAAGAGCTAGGGGCGCTGGTGATTCCGGAGCCGGTTGTCGAGGCTAATGAGCCTGAAGACATGCTCAGCGCACTGCGGCAGCGTTTCCTGTTCAGTGATACGTCCTTTACCACGGGGAACACATGAGCAACTCACCCGGACGAAGTCGAAGACGCGGAGGACGTCGTAGACGAGGCAGGTGCAATTGAAAAGTCACCGCTGCTAGCGTACACCTGGTTGATGTTTCTGTAGATGACGCGTTCGTTTCGACTCCATGAGATGGTATCGTTACACTCACGTGACATTAACCGCCTCAAGACTGTAGCCATCACTGCAAATAAAAGGTCAGAGCATCGCTACGAGTCAGAATGTGATGGCTACTAACCCAGCGGGTACAATGGGGAGAGTCAAACTGAGTGAGCCCTGGCCGGGCTGGACGTTGTTTGCGATAGCGAAGGAATTGTGGAACACCTGGTTGACAAGCTCGAGGGAGAAAGGCGGGTCCGTGGACTCCGCAGTCCAGGAGATGGTGGCAGGACCAGCGGAGGTCAGCCCAGAGGGCGTCTGCAGAGTCAAGGCCGACACAAGGGGCAGGACGGCGGCAGCAGCAACACTGACATTGTGCAGACCGTCAGCGACCTTCGACTGCTGCTACTCATGATGATCAACATACCTGAGCTTAGCGAACATGTCGACGAGGGGAGGGGTTGAGGTCGTGAGGGTATAAGGCAGAGGTCGTAGCGTGAGCGTGGAGACGAGGAGGGCAGTTCGAACAAGGATCGGTTTATATACGAGCCCACGGAGGACTAAAATAGGCCTCGAACTTCGACAGTGTCTCGCGTGAGAATCCTTACGTGGGTGCTCGATCACACTGCGAACGTTCTCTCGGATTCTAGTCCTGCTCTCGCACGGTTCTATTCCCGCTCTGACCTTCCGGCGCACAAGAACGTGTTACGGCGTCGGCCCAGGGACGACGCGCATGGCGACAACCAGATAAAGATGTCATACATGACGGGGCTATGTCCAAAGTCCAAGAGCGAAAGAAATCCTCAGAAATCCTCGGTGGTCAGGCTGTTCGGGACACGCATGATTGTCCGTGTCCGAAAAGACGTGATCGCTCGCGGGGTGATGGTCATATTGGAGAATGCTCGGTTAATATATCTAATAGAAGAGCGTTCCGTCTTCTGTCTGAGGTAAATCGGGACAGCGTGCAAACTTACCTCGTCGAACGGTCGTGTATCGTTGAAGCAGCTTTCCCAAACCTCGTTGACGGCGCGCTCCGCAGTAGCTTCGTCCGGACACGCTGGGTTCGACTTGACAGATAGCACTGCCCGTCGGCGTACGCATGCCTGCGAACAATCAAGGCGGCTCAGTCCCTTCTCGGGCCAACACGGAACTGCGTAGCAGATACGTAAAATAGCACTCACCTGGTGTTGCTTTGAGAAGGAGAAGATTCCTCGGTTCACTTCACGTGTCCACCTACAATCGCCACCGAGGCTGTTGGCTCGGATCTGGCATGTTGGTCAGAGGGAGCTGCATGCAATGCTGAGCCTTTGCGGAATGTGCCTCACCTCGCTGCATGCATGATGCCGCAAATTTAACCAGTCGACCTTGAACTTGCAATGATCATACATATGAACGAGTTCATGGGTGAGGGTATTCTCCATATGTTTACGGTCTATGAACCGCCCTTGACAGAGAATGATCGCGCCGTCGGGGGAGAATCCTCCAGAACGAGAGTAGTCGCAAGGAACGCAGTGGATGTGTGACGCCGACACGGGGCAGCCGGAGAGCTCGAGGTGCTTCAGCATAAAGACGACAGAAGGACCTAGGAGCCAGTCCAGCAGCACCATCAGCACGCGGGGCTTTCGGTTATAAAAGACAGGCGACCCACTAATACTGACTGTATTTCAGTAAGTGAGCTTTCCACTTCTCACAAGTCCGGGCATGGTGGGCCTCCAGTTCGAGAGATCGTTCCTCAGGAGACATTCCTAGTCCTGTGATAGCGGAGAACGCTCTTCGCCATCGCTCAAATGTGCTCTTGTCTGAGGGAGACTCTGATCCTGCGCTAGAGCTTGTGGATGAGGCCATTTGAAGAGAGCCGGCGGCCAGAAACCTGTGAGATGAGCGTGTTACGTAAGGAAATTGGTGCTTCTCTCGTGCCACCAAGTTGGCGCCCCGTACTACTTTGAAAGAAACTGGCATGCAAGGCCTTACTTTGAAGACTTCGAGGATTCACCAGATCAGCTGTCCTCTAGAATGAGTCTTTTAACCGTTTTCAGCCTTCCTCCCGCCAAAAGGGGCCCCATGATATGGTGCGGGTGTAGCAGTGAACCCCCCGGAGGGCGGGGGTCCAGCGTCGACCAAGGTTTAATTGTAAAGTTGCGCAGGACAACATCAAGGACGCTGTTCAAGTGCTACCCGTCCTTACCGCGGTAAGGTCTTATGTCTCGCCTAAACCCTTGTATGTCAATCAGCTTCTTCGGTCTGCATGACCTGTCAGGAGCTCAGTCTGCCTGCGTGATCTGCGCAGGCATTCCAATGCTGTGGCGCGCACGCCCGAGGCTTGTCTATGGGTGTTCTATGCTACCACAGGGGCCGGTGCAATGAAGATCCACGCTGCCTTCGTCAAATTTCCAGAGGACGAAGCCCAGCTATTAATATTCTAGAATGTACGCCTTAGTGAAGCCGGTGGGGTGGGTTTCCAAATGCCGACGAGCTCTTCACCTCTCAGTGAGTATTCTGAACGCTTGACCTCTTTTGACACACGAAACTGTGTATTCGTCCAGGACCGGATCTAACTGGCAAGGCTTTCCGCACTCCAGGCAAGCCTCGTCGTTTCGAAAGCCAGGTTTCTATTCACGCTTTTACATAAAGTAGGCAGGACTTGGAGCGGCAGTGAAAGTGTGAGTCTCCGCAGCATCTCTTCCGGCCCCGTGTATTCTGCGGCCTGCGTGTCTGACTGTACCACGGTAGATCCGGTACCCTGTATGGGAATTGTGCTTGACATGGTATATGATCTTCACGGTTCTATCCCCGTGTACAGCGAGACATACGACCGGTGTTTTAACCACTCGGACCCTGGATAGTGGCGATCGTGGAAGGATCGAGCAATCTGTTTGACCAGCATAGTCACCTGATGAGCCTGGGACCCTCAACAGAGCGTGTACACGGACTAGGTCTACCAGCATGCTGGGCCCGAAGGCGTGCAGCTATCCAGCGATCTTTACCTAACTGATCTACATCGCAGTAGCCAGAGCACAAAGGTTTGTTTCCGTTGTATCCTTCGGATTACTGAAAATCCTTCGGCCCGCGCTGATCAGAGCCCTCGACAGTTCTTCACGAACTCATGGACGTCTTCGCGTCTTCTGCCGCCCATGTCACCGCCGGTAATATCCAACATTAACAAGACTGTCGGTCCCTTCATTCACTCGGCCTCTCCACTTCTTCTCTTACGTGTCTGTGTTCGGGGCTTAATAACGCATCCAGCGTGGCGCGCGGTACTCTGCGTGTCTTCCTGATGCTACTATGGAGCCAAATTGTCACTTTCGGAGACTCGATCCTGCCGCTCGCTACCGCACTCTCGATGCGACGCAAAATCTCGTATAGTCGAGAAACCATCGGTCGAACAAGATCGTCTGCCCGGCTCGCACGTTACTATTGTTTATTCGTCTACGCGGGATCGACTTGGACCGGAGATGTCCTCTGGCGTCGGGCACGGATCTTCCCCGCCAAAGTCCGGGCGTCGCTAGTCCTCATCTGCATGGCTCAGTACAACGCTGAGCAGATACGAGATACGCGATAGCCTACCGCTGCCGCTGCACAGCACGCCCTCGCTGAACTGCTCGCTGTGAATAAGGGAGTCTTCTATTGCCGTCCTCGGTCATTTAGGCTCAATCGGTCACGCGACACGACACGACGCCCGATGCTATAGTAAGTCTCCGGGGTGGGAGCCTGCACCTTCTCTGATCATGTGCTGTATACATGGGAGCAAGTGTACAGGTCTTCAGTTACTCAAGTCAAATGCGCCTCCAACTCGACAGACCATCCGAAGGCTGCGGAGTGATCGCGGCGAATCTGCTGTCCCACACCTCCCCAGGCCGCCGCTCCCTTCACAACTTCGCTGGATTGCTCCAACTGGGTTTGCGTTTCTGTGGACCAGGTGTTCAGTGAGATCGAGCGCCACACTTTGACGAACTTCTATTACCTCTGAGAACGCCTTGAGCCCCTCCTATAGGCAAATGAAGCGTCAAGTTTATTTGGTGGAGTGTTGATCGCGCACCTTGATATTCGCGCTATTGTACAGCCGCCTGGCTTCGGGGCTCCATGCCAATGCCAAGGTGGCCTGCTCAAAGTTTCCATGCTGCCCAGCCAGAATCAGGCCGCGTTTGGTACACTGAACGGCATCAGGTGAATTGGCTACTATCTGTTTCGCCCACTCGACAGCCGTAGGCAAAACCTTGGAGGCAGGTACGATCTGGTTCACGCTTGTACGACATTTATGACTTGTCCTTCACGCGGTAAGAGCAGGAGCGGTACGCACAAACGGAACCGAGTTTGAGCTTCGGCTGCAGAGATGGGGCGACCCAACAATAGGAGTTCTGAGGCCAGCTAAACATAGGTGCGTGAAGGTTTGTTTCGACTGCCTGAACGTTTTGAACTACCTGATGGCCTGCTATCTTTGCAATGCGAGGTATAACTGTACTGTATTAGTAAAGATCCGCAGAGGCAACAGGTATACATACCACCCTGCGCAGCGAGCACCCCACGCTTGACTTCTGGAAGGGCGAATTGCGCCTCTTCACTGGCAATAACGATATCGCAATTGAGCAGCATCTCGAGGCCTCCGCCGTAGGTACCGCCATTGACTGCAGCAATTATGGGCTTCGAGGTCTTGGAGCGGCGTGAAATGGACCCAAAGCCATGGACGCTGCCAGCGAGCATCTCCTGCTCGTTGGCTTGTCCACTTGATTGCTTTTCGTTCCAGCTTCCCATGCCATGTCAGTGCCACTGAGATGGTCCCTCGGGGCCAAGACACACGGAAACTTACGCCTTGAGATCAGCGCCTGCGCAGAACGCACGTCCTTCACCTGTAATGATCACCGCCCTGGACATTTGGGCGGTATCTACATTTATTCACGCGATGTAGAGCATGCGTACGAACCAGAGGCTCTCTTCGTTGTCAAACCAATTCAGGATATTATTGATGTCCGCCTCCATCTGGGGGGTCATGGCATTGAGGGCCTTTGGCCTGTTGAGCGTGAGCTGGAGCACATGCTCAGCAGGGAAGGAGACTTTGAGTTCAGCAGAATGCGGGGGGTGATCGAGGGAAGACATAACGTGCAAACCGTTCAACCAAGCAACATTACGCCAGCAAACCGCCAAGATCGAAGCGCAAGTGCTTGTGCCTGGTGCCAGACCGCGAAGTGCGGGGAAAATGTCCGACGGACGGCCGCGGGATGCCGGCATCCGGAGGTGTGTCCGGGTGAAGTGGGACGCCCTGATGTCAGAGATAAGATCATCCATCTCCGCATTCGACGCCCGCTCCGGAGCAGCGGCAGACCCGTCGTACAGCAACGTTGGCATAGTTCCCAAATGACTCGATTGTCGCGATCATGATTTGATATCGGTCCGAATGCGCAGAAAAAAAACATATCGATGGATGATATTGGCACATGATACACGGGCATTAGGCTAAGCACGGAGAACCTGGTCGTACATTCATGTCCGAGACGCGATCCCCTCCCAAATATTAGCAAGTCCCCCCAATATTACTGCGTCTGCTATACTCTGCGTGATGGTATATGGTGGTACAAGATGCATTGAGTCGGAGCCGATAGAATTATGCAAATAGCAGTGGGTGACAACTGGGGGGCTTGTCAGATGAGCGCGGGCCGGACAGGGCGCCACCGACTTACTGAGACGGATTGCAACGAAAAAACAAATACAACAATGTGCAAAGATGAACAAGGCGAAAGAGACTGAACCAAAGGGTCAGCCTCAGCGAAAGCCAGAGCAGGTTCAAGACATACCTTGGTTAACGGCGCTTGAATGGGCAGTTGGGGGAGTGACCTCCGCGCCACCCGCAGTGGCAGCACTGGGGGGAGCTGTAGTTCACGCACTCCTGCTCACTTGCGGTATGCGAGGAGACGGGGGCGGCTGATGCGCAGGGATGCGAAGTGTGGTGGCATGTGGATGATAGCGCGCCGGAGCAGGGGATGGCGAGCGCTGAGCAGCAGTGCGAGTGCGAGACCATGATGATGATGATGACAACGAGGAGAGTGGTGGAGAGCGGTGAATGCGAAGAGTGGAGGAGAGGAGAGTAGCTTAAGTAGTGGGGTAAATGTCTGACCGAGTTGCTGATGGTTTGCAGTTCACTCCAACGGTCTTTTATCTGTTTCAGAAATTGCCGCCACACCGGGCACGGCCCCATGACTGCTTTGGTACGAAGCACGAATACCAGATTTCCGATACGTATGTGGCGCCGAAAGAGTGCTTCCCATACTTCCGTCGCCCGTTGATATGACAAAGGCAAGCAACGCTGAAACGGATCATCTTTGCTATCAGGCCGGGCAGAGTTGTGGACGAATTATCCTCCTTTATCTCCCCCAAAACAAGAAATAGCACGGAAGGAACGTGCCTCGTGCACAGCACGGAAACGAAAGGAAGGTGCAAGCGAGCCACAACAAAGACGCCCAACTGCGCGCGTCACAAGCGTCAGATCCAAGAAAAGCACTGATTCCGCACGAAACCGACCAAACTGCAAGGAGTTTGGGTGCCTTGCCATCCCGATGTGTATCACCGTCCTTCGGCCTCGCGCCGACGTTCCGAGCCAAACTTATCGCGTCCCTTTGCCATAATCGCCTCATCAGTCCCAGAAACACGCGAACCACACGAGCTTCCAAGCCGGATCTGCCATCTCCCAGCGCCGCCGCCCTGGTGTCCTCCAATACATCCAGCGCGAAATGTATTGCAACCTCGACCCCCCACGTCCGCGAATATGTCCATCTCGGAATCCTAACTCTCCTAATTTCACCTCCAACGCATGCCATCAACGTCCTGGGGCAGCGGAGGCTCAGCGAGACACAGATCCTAGGGACCCTGGCTCGATCGTGAACGACATGGGCGTCTGACCGCACTCAATTACCTCTGCTCGATCCCTGCGCTCGAACTTTCTTAACGCCGGAGGTGATGAAAGGTCCCTTCACGCCACCAGAGTCAGCCCGGGCAGCTAGAACCCCACAACCTTAGGCCTGCTAGTGATAAATTGGTGTCGTGAGACGTCAATCTCAAGAACATGTCAGGCGACATAATTCAGCGACGCGCGAAGCAGGAGAGAAAGGGCACGTCGCGAGAAAAGTCAGGAACGTGTATCGCCGAGACTGTGGGCGGGGATCGTCATTTGGAAGGGTACTCACAAAGGCCCCGATGTAGGGCCACTCCTGCCTTATCCATATAGACCACCAAAGACTGGACAAATTGCGCACACAGCACTTCTTCAGATGCAGGACCAGGACATAGCGCGATCACTCCTGTACAGTTCTAAGCCGTAATTAGCGTAGATAGGAAGGACTGCGCAATATTATCTACTTACAGCGATAGTCCAGTGATCCCTTCCGTCTTACTCGGAAATTCTTCGCCTCGCGCTCGTTCGACATGCGTTGTAGGTGCTTGTGTTATCGCTCACCGGTGACATCTTCAACATGGCTTCTAAGCCGCTCACTAGCACTAGCTCGCAGAAAGGAGACCAACGCTGACACGAAAGGGTAGTGAACATACTAGTACAGTGACATCAGAGCAGCACGACATCTGTCCGCTCAGGCGACCTTCCCCAACTTGCTTCTAGCTCCCGACACTGCCTCCTTTCTTCTTCGGCGCGTCCGCATACCAATGCGGGATCGCGTTCGCTTTCGGCACAGCTCGTTTCCTCAGTTCTCGGATTTCTTTCTCCTCCTCTAACTCCTTTTGCCTCCTTCTTTCTTCCATCTGTCTTTCAATTTCTTGCTCTCTGGCCCTCCTCGCTTCCTCGAATTTCTCTCTTTCTTTCGCTCGAATTTCGGTGCTGAGCTGGAGGGGCTGGGAAACTACGGGCGCGATATGCTCCTTACGAGCCGCCACAGACGCTTCGTGGGCGGCATGGAGAGCTTTGAAATCTGGAACGGGGTGAAAGAAGCGGCTTGCAGAGCGCTTCATCGTACTTCGTGACCCTTCCTCATGTTGGGCCTTTCGGGATTCTAGACGTAGCTCGGATTTGAAGTTAAACTCGATCGGCTGGATGGCCTTCGGTGGAGGTAGTTGGTTGTTCTGAGTAATCCCGTAAACCCTAAGTCAGCCAGCTAACAGCACTTGCATCGCCACGGGACGTACCGGTCTATCACTGATCGAGCGTTGACCAATAGCCAAGACGTGACTATCTTTCTCTTTGTGCGCTTGGGTATCCAAGGTACGCCCGACACGTTCACGGGTTTGATCGTGGTCGAAATGCTCTCTCGGCGGGGCCGGAGTAAGCGCGTTCTCTTTGCTATTCTTGAACTTGCTACGAGTAGACGCAGGCTTTCGGACCTTGTCCCTACTCGACTTCAGAGAGGCCGCGTTGGACTTTGGCTTCCCTGGATGCAGTCTCTTCTCCCTCTTGCGAGGCTCGGAAGAATCCAAAATTGATTGGGGAGAAGGGGGACGCTTATTCGAGGTGCGCATCGGGGAGATCGGTTCCTGAGGTTGTCCAACTTCCTTCTTTCTCGGAGACAGCTGTGACAAAGTGAGAGGATCATCACGTGTAGCGGGAGGCGCGTCGGTGTCTGCCACTTGTATGGCCTGTCTATCATCGCCATAGCCTCCACCCATTGTCCTGGAACGTCAGCATTCAGCACCGGCTGCGTGTCATGAACTCGAGGATCACATACATTGACTGCATAATCCCCTGACTAAACATGAGGAGTCGCCCTGCGGCTCCCCCGACGGCAGCATCCATGGTGACATCTCCGAAAGACGCATCCAAGAAGTCCGACTTCATCGTGGCTTTCTTCACCTGCGACGGCGTAGTACCATGGCCGTCTTCTGGTCTGACGGCAGTAATAGTAGGCGGCACATCCGATATCGCAGAAGACGGGGCATCGGCGATCTGCAAATATTATGACACGGGCCCTGCCACAAGAAGACATCGACTCACTATTTCGCCTCTCTTGTAGACTGCCTGCTTACTGCTTTCAGCATCGCCGCTGCCTCCAGGGTGCTTACGAGTCAACGCCGGTTTATTTCCGGGACGCCTCCTGGCGGGACGATCTATAATCGGAGCCGCCTTGTCGTCGGCACCAACTGAGTCCTGGTCCTGCGCCGACGGGCGAAGAGCAGAGGTCGAGGCTTCCCGACTCTCAGTCGGCTTCGACTTGGTCTTTGATGGGCGAGACACGGCGTGTATAGTGGGCTGCTCCAATACCGCGCGGGGCGAGGGCGGGAGTATTTGCTTCGACTCGGGGCGAGGGGTCAGATCGCTGAGACGAAGAGCGTCGTGAGTCTTCTTTGGCATAATGGGTGTGCCGAGGCTATCCGCGTCTGCCAGAAAATCGCCGCTGGGATCAGCCAAGAGAAGCTCATCTGTGCCGTTGGATACGGGGATTTGGAATGAAGTATCGGAAAGGTCTGGAAGGTGGCGGAGGCTGAGATCAGGAAGGTGCGGCATGCTGAGCTCGGTAATTGAACGTGGAGGCATGCTCAATGAGTTGGACCGTAGCGGTCAGTACTCTGGTTGAAGCCGGTTGCAGCCTCGGGATTGACTAACTTGATGCGAACGAGAGCTGAAGACTGAGTGGCAACAGCTGCTTCAGTACCGAGTTGTTCACAGCGGTATGGTCGACGAGTGTGAAGTATCGCAAAAAGTGCAATGGAGGCAGGGGACGACAAGCAACCGCTCCTCCGTGGGAGCTTCCGCGACGCGTCTCAAGCACGTGACGAGCCAGCCTTTGTGTCCCGGAGGGACCGGTCGGACGAATTGGGCTGGCGCCGGCGCCCTTCCCACGTCTCGCTCAGGTCTCAAAGGTTGCAGGCGAAAATCACTCGCGACCACTTGGAAATGCTCGTTCTCGAGCCTACTGCGTCGCGGGAAGCTGGTCCACTCTCATGCGACTACATAGTCAGGCGACTGTGTCACTCAGGGCTCTGACCGTCGGGGACGCATCTGTGTTACGAGGCCATGATGCAAGACCAAGAAGACATCGGCTTACCCCCGAGGTCTCTCATTCCTACCCGGTCAGAAGAGCATGCCATGGCGTTCGGGGAGCGTCATATTTTACCCCAAGTGTCTGGTATGAGCTCCTGGGACCACCTTGCCTCTTTCCAGCTCGCATTTCTGGCAACCCCCTTTACTAAGATCGAAAGGGTACACAAGGCACGCCGATATTCTTGACGCATCTCGGGGGCGTCAAAGAATCTCAGTGAACCCAACGCCAGAGTTCTTCCACCACTTGCGCCTCCGGATGTTGAGGATGCCACTCCGCTGCTTCGATGTTCCCGTCTTTAGCAACAAGCACCGGTCCCTCTTTGGCCCTGCTGCGAGCGCGTGCTTATCTGATTATGCCTTGGCTTCATCCTATTCGCTGAGGCCAACTGGTCACCCTGTGACGCACTAGACGGGCGATCCAGTGATTGCAAACACGGAAGTGGCGTAGAATTCCTCTTCGCACTATGGCCCTTAGCCCTCTTTTGACAGTATTACACCCCGGCATCTTTCCGGTAACAACTTCTTTAGACCACCTGATATGGTTTTTGCATGCAGATACACGAAAAGGCAACTCCAGAGTAGATTCTGCTGGTGCGTGTCTTGGGTAGAAGGTGGTCGTGAAGACTCGGGGCACGAACTGTAATCGTGGCTTCTTTTCTGGAACTGCACAGTATAGGCTCAATAGACACTATCTGCGGAATTGGGGTTCCCAATACAGTCTACGTAGGACATACAAATACAAATGATGAATGCCATTATCAGCATCTTCGAGAGACAAAAGCCGCCGCGATGCCGCTAAGGCTGAGAGTTCAGTCAACCTTGACTGTGCCGTCGACTAGATACAGCACGCCGTTGATAGCCTGCGAATAGACATGGACGAACTCAGGCACGATGGTCCAGGAAACGGGCATACACGCACCTGTTTCTCGTCCAAAATCCTTATATTTCCGTCCAGGACTATGCGCGCCCAATCGGGCAGTTCGGTATGCCCTTCGATCTTCTCAAGCTTAACAGACTTGCCAGGCAAGAGGGTGTCATATGAGCCAGATTCGAGGACGATGGGTGATTCCTGCAGGGGGAATGGTTTAGTTTCCTTCACACTCTACGCATGCTGCCCCGGCTGTACGTACCGGGATGATATGCGCAGAGACCCAACGGAGAACGTTCTCCTTCGAGAGTGCGTCATACTCCTGTTCAGTTATCACCGTGCCCTCCTCGGGAGGAGCTGGTCCTTGATGTCTTCAGAGCAACGTTAACCCACGGAATTGTAAAGTGTACCAGAAGGACTTACGGCTTCCGAGCTAAAGCCATGATGGCTTTGTTGGTAGGCACAAGCACCGTAGTCCGAGCCCTTTCGTCGTTGAACAACTCGCTGAGCTTGGTCTCTCGTGCATAGGAGTAGAATATCGATGCGGAAGTTTCGATGGTCAACAAGTCTGCAAGCCTCGGCTGAGACTGTACAACAGGGACGGGGTTGTTCATGTCTTCGACGTTGGAAAGCACAGTCTGTCCATCAAGCGAGGCAGCTGCAAGCAGTGGCAAGGCAAACAAAGATAGTATTGGGCCGCGCATGGTGTATGTTCGATGATGCTGCACAAACGAGAGACTGGAGCTGCGCTAGCGGCGCAATGGTGGCTGTGCATTGCCGACGCTGTACGTCCTGTTTTAGGCATATGTCATAAATTTCCAGGCTCTCGAATCTCGATCACTTCACTCTCACTCAGGCTTGTGTCTGGCTGAGAAGACATAAGTACCGCTTCAACTTGTGCATTTCGCCCACTTCAGAACATCATGGGCAAATCGCAAAAGAAACGATCTATGCGTCGCCATAACCCGATGCGAGTCCCAGACTCGCATCTACCAAAAGGTCTCGGGGGTGCATCCTCGTCCAAGCAAGAGCAGGTTCTACCAATCATGCAGAAGGTGAGCAATGAGTCCACATTCTGAATCGACAATGTCACCCTCAATAGTCTTCTTGCTAATGGGTAGATGGAAAGTCCAGACCCGTTAGAGCGCAAATGGGCTTGCGTAGCGGTATCCAATCTTATTCAAAACGACCCATCTACGCGACGATTGCTTCAAGGAAAGAATGTGGTCGGCGCGTTGATAACTCGCTTGTCTGACAGTGAAGAGGAAGTTGTGATTGAAGCTGTGGGAGCACTGCGGTACGTTGTATCCCAGAGGGTGGTCATGGATCTTCGTTCCAATCCGAGTGTGTGACCAGGAATCTGTGCATCGATGGCGGATATGACATTTGCGGCGAGATGTACAACAAAAACATCATGGCGCCATTGAAGACATTCCCTGCCAAGGTGAGCCCGTTCTCAGTCGGCTAGGCGGTGCCTTCTCAACATGCAGAAAGGAAGATATCAAATATTCTATCTCAATACCTTGAATCACCCAAATCAGCCTCGGAGAGCGTGCAGAAAGCACTCTACGAGTGGGCTGATAACGTTATCACCATCCTCTGGTGTCTATCGTAAGCGAGTTTTGCACATGTCGAGTTAACGCGTGGCTGACTGAACTCAGAGAGACGTCCAACAAGGCTTTGAATGCCATCAATCAGATTTCTCTCGTTCCCTTCTTGATGTCCTTCCTGGCCTCGCGGGACAGATTACCATCCGCGCCAGTCACATCTGCAGGCATGTTCGCTCCCACATTACCTCAATGCAATGCTGAATCGTCGAACAGCTCAATGCCTTTACGTGTTAACCGAGGATAATCCGCCGGCGGTCAAGGAAGTCAGATCCAACACAGCTTACATCTCCTGTCTTTTCGAGATCGCCCGCTCCGAGCCCAAGGGCAAGGAAGACAGTCAAATATCGCAGGAAAGAGCCGTAACGCAGCGTTTGCTCGCGTGTGGTATGTTCCCACTTGCTCCGGTCAAGTTTCCTATTGACATTCAATGGAAAGGGATCCTCCGTAACGTCTCTCCTCTTCCAGCTTCATCGTCGGCTCCTGCCGACTTTGACAGAGAAACCGTGATCCCATTGCTGCTTCCTGTGATTAGCTCTGTCTCATTGTTCGAGTACTCCAATGCGGTTGGCGAGCTGCTACAAAAGATGGTATGTATCTCACGACTTCCCATGGTCCACTAATTTCGACTGTACGTGGACAGGACTCCGAACCCCAGATCGAAAAGTTGTCGCTGAAAAATACTCCAAAGTCTGATTTTAAATCAGCGGAGGAATTGGAGCTGGAGCGTATTGAGACGAAGCTTAGGTCGATCCAGCTGGCGCTTGAAATACTGACAGGCGCTTGCGCGACGTTACCGGACTCTGAACTACTTCCCGACGAGGAAGGCGACGATGAAGGTAAGTCAATCAGCCCCTGTATATGCCACATGACTGATGCCCCGTCTTAGATGAAGCGATGGACGGGGAAGACGACAATGTCGATGGTGCACTCATGGATGACGACGCGCCAAATGGAAGTCGTCCGACACCAGCAAATACGTCGTTTCTATCCAGCCTTGTAGAACCTCTTCTGTCCTTAATACAACCGACACCGCTGTCTTTCCCACCACATTCGGGTCCTTCCCCACACCCACCCACGACGTCGGCTCTCAGTGCAATACACGTTTGTGCACTTGAATGTCTAAATAACATCTTCCTATCGCTATCCACTTCTTCAAACCCGGCTGTCGCGGCTGATACTGAGAGTGGACGAAAAGTATGGAGCAGCGTCTCGAATGCCCTGCAGGCTGTCGGGACAAGCTTCGGCCCGGGTCAAGAGCGGAGAAAGGACGTCTGGGAAATTGGAGTAGGTGTTCTATGGGGCATTGGGAACATTTGGAAGGGTAACCTGGTGCGTTCGACTGTGCACCCTTCCCCACTTCCCCCTGACTCGGGAATATAGGTACCTCAAGAGGAGGAAGTCAGAGTTTTGATGCAATTATGTGACGCCACCGCATCAGACACAGTGAGAGTCCGCTGCGTAGGTGCCTTGGAGTGTCTCGCCCAACATCCGCCTTCTATCGAGCTTAATCGGGTACGTTGTCTTCCCGGTACAATGTCGTCAACTTACTAAAAGCTGCATAGACGATCTCTCAATATCTTCTATCCACGTTGCCCACAGCAGCTGGTCCATCTCCGGTGGGCGTGGAACCGATGATACAGGCTGCTTCCGCTCTAATCGACATATATTCCGACGAGAATATGCCGTATGATGTCAATTTCCGGCAAGGGGGTTATGTGGATAGACTGGCCGAGAGCTTGAATGGCTTCAAACAAGCTGTGAGAACCATCGATAAGCGCAAGGAGGGTGGAAAGGAATTGCGAAGTCGGGGCGAGGAAGTCCGGGAGAACCTGCAAGCCTTCGTTCAGTACAGGCGAGATCTCGGATTTTAGGTAGTCTTAGGGTTTGGATGTTAGTGACGCTGGTGACGTTGCACTCTTGCATCGTCGTGCTACTCATCAGGAGTGGGCTTACTCCTTTGGCCACCTTTTCTGAGAAGGCGGACCAACCTATGATCTTGAACTTCGAGTCGACGGGCAAGCGGGATCTTACAGTGGTCAGATTATTTTATTATGTCCTGGCGTGGATCGTTAAGATAAAGTTCGCCTGCGCAATAATTTGTTATGATGAGCGACGTAATCGTCTGGGCCTTGGTCGAACTCTGGTCGGTTCCCCGGAGGTACCACGGTTCCGCGAAGGTTATGCTGGACTAGGGGACGCGCAGATCGTAGCCTGGATGATGATGTCTTCTGATGACACAGCGAAGAACCTAAACTATGCGGAGTTGATGGTAATAACTTTGGAGGTAGGCCGACCCTACCTCGTCATCGGCTTCTTCGTGGCATCAAGTCGAACTCAACGCTCCCTTGATAAACGCGAGGATGAGTTGCAGCAGATTTAAGGTGAAATCCCACAATGCAGAGTCAGTCATGTGAGTGTATGAGCTGCGACCACGTACTTAGAGCGGGTTCCGGCCGGGAACAAGCAGCGGGCAAGAAAGAGGTACAGGGAGCGTACTACGTGAGACGCTATGAGGAACGAAAAGAAGCTCAGCTCATTATTTTCCTACCTCACCTTGAAGTCGAAGTATGTCCGCATGGTCTTATCGCGTGTCAGAGTGTCAAAAGTGGCTGGTCAAGACGGACAACAGGTGAGTATTGAGAACATCCTGCGAGGAAAGGCCGGGGTCGCCCTTCCCTATGCAGACCATACTGGTCGGTAGCTTGTCTTATTTCAAGCAATGGGCCGCCTATCAGGATACCATGAGATACGAATCGAGTAGCAATATAGCAATTGCAAGTCAATGTAAATAACAGAGGACTAGGCGCTCGGTGGCGTTCCCAAATGGACGCGTGACGGAACGCGATCACGTGCATTGCCTCGTGGCGCGCCGACGCGATGTTGAACAGTGTTTAGACTGATCCTCGCGCCTTCCCACAACGTCCTCAACCCCGGAAACCTGTCCTTCCTGAGTGTTTCGCACCACGCTTGCGACGATGTCGGGCTGGGAGATTGGGAGCCATGACTCCGAGGAGTTGATATCACTCCGAAAGCAATTATCAGAGAAGGGCAGGTCGCATTTACCACAGCCGGAGTCTATATTTACTGACAGCGATGTTAGACTCGCAGTATGCCAATCTACAGTCCCAATTATTGAAGAGATCAGAAGAGTTTGAGGAGATGAAGCGCTCTTTGGATGACTCGGTACAGAAAGTGAGGCGATCGCTTCGAAGCTTGTAGCATTCGCTCATGTGTTGTTTGGTGCCACAACATAGCTAAGAGCAGAGGCCGAACGAGCTCTTGCCTTTGAGAAGAACCTGGAACGGTGTACAGAGAATCTGCAAGCCGAGAAGATAGCTCGTCAGAATGCAGAGATCAGCGCCGCTTCCGCTCAAGCAAGGATTACGACGCAAGAGCAGGAAGCCCGGGAGCTGCAGGCTATTATCAACAGCCTGTCCAACGGCGCGGACGACTCGGCAACTCGATTGTTAAAGCTCTCGGAGGAGAAGAAGAAACTGGAGAATCAGGTGAAGGATCTCCAGGCGAACCTGCGGGAGGCAACGATGACACCTGCTCCTGCTCGCCGGGGACCACGTCGAACGTCATCTCTCTCGGACGCCCGCCACATATTTCTTGAACAGGAGTTGACTGAGCTTCGCGCCGCGTACTCCAAGGTTGAAGCAGAGCTCCATACGGCGAGGGAAGAGCTGCAGCGATCGCAGGCTAGCTTGTGCAATACGGAAAACGAACGAATTGTGGCGGAGAAGCGGTTGAAGGAGCGTGTTCAGGAGCTGGAGAATGTCTTAGAGTCGCAAGAGGAAGAGCTACTGATGTTGAAGTCTCAGGCCGGAGGCGATGCCACCGCTCAGCGGGAGGAAGACCTACTGTACCGCATCGAGCAAGAAGAAGCGAAGGTAGCCACACTGAATCAAATGGTGGACTCCTTAGAGCAAGAAGCACGATCTTTACGAAAGAAGATCGGTGTGGAAGCGTCTCACGCTGCCGACCTGGAGTCCAGGAACGTTGACTTGATGTCGAAGAAGGAGCGAGCCTTGCATGAGCTCCATGATACCGAGGTCAAGCTGAAAGCTGCCCTTGAGACGGTCCGGGGCCATGACAGGCGTATTGAGCATCTTACTGCTCGGGAAACGTAAGTTGCTGAGCTCGCCAACAAGGACCCTATACTGATTTTTCATTACTGTCCAGCGAGCTCTGTCAGCAGATAGACCAGCTGCAGGCTGCTATTCAGCCTCAACTGCTCGTGTCACAACGGGAAGAGGGTAAGGCGTACCCCGAGCCCGAAGATCCCGACATTATTGCGACCGTCGAGCGCCTTCTGAAGGCTGTCGAGCGCCTCCGGTCAGAGAGAGATGGTCTCCGGCGCGATCTGGAATTCTTGCAAATGGAGTCGGCAATCACGGTCCAAACGCTGGAGAAGAGGCTGTCCGCTATGAAGGATCGTGAGCAAGAACTGCCCCTTGCCGCGCAGCTGCATGAGGAAATCGACACCCTGCAGACACGACTGGCGGAGAGCGATGCTCAACATTCCCGCTTGTTATCACAGAAGGACGATGACATCAAACGTCTGGAGGCCAGGGCGTCGACTCTCGCCAGCAGTATCGAAGAGTCTCAGCGCAAGGCTGATCAACTTATCGCCGAGAATGCCGATCTTGACAAGCAGCTTAACGAGGCGCGACATTCTATTCGAGAGGCAGAGGACGCTTCTCGCTCCCGAGAGCGAGAGCTAACCGCAATGAAGACTGCAATGGACGGGACCCAGACGCGTATTACCTCCGCTTTGGAAGAGGTCCGTGCACTTCAATGCGAGCGGGAGGAACTCTTGCACAGGGTCAGGCAGTTGCAAGATGAATTGACGTCCTCGACGCAAGAACTTGCGTCTACTAGGCGGGAACTGAGGCAGACGGAAGGCAATCTGCAAGAGGCACTGAAGTCGCTTGAGATTGTGGAATCGCAGCGAGAGTCGCTTATTACGGAGGTAACGAACCTCCAGAGCGACCTAGAGGCAGCAAGGCACGAGCTCGAAGACGCAGAACAGCGTAATGACACCCTGCAAGCAAAGCAGCTGGCATCCTTCTCATCTTATGAGGCAACCAAGGCTCTAAGACAGCAGATCGAGACGCTGGAGCAGCGCGTGCAACGCCGCACTGAACAGATTGGTATTCACCAGCACGACATCAAGAGACTGGAGCTTAACCTCAAGCTACAAGAGGACCGAGTCAATGAGATGGTTGCCGAACTTGAGACAATGGCAAGCCAGAAGGAGGCCATGGTGGAGGACTGCGCCGCAGCTCGGGAAGCCAGGGACGATGCCCTGACGAGGGTGGAAGCGCTCGAGCTAGAGCTAGAGACGGTAGATAGCCGTGTAATGGACGCTGAGGAGGCCAGGCAGTCGGAGTGCGCGGCTCTGATCGGCGTCTGGGCGCAAAGCATGAGTCGCCTCAGGGCAACTCGAGTCTTGCTTCAGCACAATACGCAGCGCGCCGTCCCAGAGACACGGCCCATGGACGTGGATGATTCTCACCTCGCGGAGGAGCTCAATAGCCTCCGCACTGAACATCGGAAATGTCTCGATGATCTGGAGGGGAAGAGTGCCTCGCTACGCTCCCTCCAAGCGTCCTCCACTGCTACCTCCGAGGATCTACGGCTGGTGACGGTAGCTCTGGCCTCAGCCAGAGCAGGCTTATGCACCGCTTCCGAGGCCACCACGGCAGTCAGGATGGAACTGGTTAATGTTCGCTCTCGATGCGAAGCCTTGGAAGCGGAGGCGCAATCCAAGTCTGCAGAGATATCCGCGCTGGCAGAACAACGGGAGCAGTCCGAGCTTAGATGCGTCGATGCTATCATGCAGAAAGAAGCGTTGGTCGATGACAACGCTAAACTACAACAACAACTGCTGGAGCTCCAGCGTACCAGTGAAGATTCTGCAGTTCAACTGAAGGAGGAGGTCGAGAAGCTGCTTCGGGCGCAAGATGATATGGAACTTCGCCTGTCTCAGGCCTTTGCAAAGTCACAATCAGAGGATCTTCGGGACGAACTAGATGCCCTCAAGGCCGCGCATTCTCAAGAACTGGTCAAACTGCAAGACGAGCTAGCCATCACCCTTAGAGATCTGGAAGAAGCTCAAAGGTGTCGTGACGCTTTAGAGACTCAAATCCGAGAGACCGAACAGACCCGCGAAGCGATGGAGGCGCGACTTTCTGATGCAGAAAATCGGTTCCAGAACCAACTCAGCGAGCTTGAGGCCAAATACGCTGAAGAGCTGTGTAAAACGGGAGCGGACCTTCAGCAGGAAATCGACCGCTTGACGGATGTTTTGCGAAAATCAGAAGCATCACATGCCAATGCAACAGTGGAGATCGAGCGACTCAGAGAGAACCACGAACGCCAGGTGTCGGAGATGCGAGAACAACTCGCGAATCTAGATAGCGATATCAAGATGCTCACGCAGAACTGCGAGGCTACGAAGCAGGACCTACAAGAGTCAATGGAGCGTCAGAAGGCTATGGCCGCTGAGCACTCGGACTTGCGTCAACAGCTTGCGCGGAGTCAAGATGAGCTGCAAGCTACCCTGGACGAGCTTCATTCCATGCGAGAAGAGAAGTCTATGCTTGATACTGAGTTCAAGAAGACCGCATCGCAGATAGAGAACCTGTTGTCCATGAAGTCATATCTGGAGGATAAGCTTAAGGACAGGTGAGACTTATCGACTCGTAGAATGCTTTTGGTCTAACCATCGCTCAGTGAGAGCGCAGTTTCATCTTTACGAGAGCAATCAGATCGTCTCAAATCGAGCTTGATTCGAAGCGAGAAAGCGGAGAAAACTGCCGAGATGAATCTATCTCTCCAGAGCACCCAGCATGAGCATGTCGTCGCGACCCTCAAGCGCGAGATTGAACGTCTGAAGTCAAGGCCTGACTTCGAAGCTGAAGCCTTGGAGCTCAGAGAGAGGATCGATGAGATGGATCAACTCCTGCGGAGTAAGTCCGCAGAAATCGAAGAGAATGATGACAAATGCATCGAGTGAGTATATCATATGGTTATATTGCACCGTGTTAACAAAATCTGTAGACTCCTGAAGGAAAAGAAGAAACTGGCACACAAAGTGGAGACTCTGACACGAAAGGTGCAGAGTCTGCAAATGAAGCTTTCTTCTGCGCAAGGATCATCGTCGACTCCTGAGGAGGTGAACCACGTCTTCTCGAGATTGAGCCCCGCGAGAGGCACCATGCCTCCCGTGCCTCCTCTTCTTGCCCAACCAGCTTCATCGATACTAGCCACGCCAAGCGGACGAACCAGAACAATTTCTGGGCCATCCTCGCTGCCGCGGCCTAAGACACCAGACTTCAAGGCGACGCATTTCAGCACTGCGAGGATGAAGACACCTGAACAAAGAAATCCGTTCTATCAGCCTCCAGCTGAGGCATCTTCGTCTGTGGCCGGTAAGAAAAGACCGGTGCCGGAAGACTTCGATGACTGTGGAAGTGTACCTCCTCAGGGCATCGTGGCTGAGCGTCTGGTAACCTTTGGAGAGGAAAATGCGACGCCGCGTGTACGGAGACCATACCATAACGCTCGAACAGGCTTTACTCCCCAGCGAAGTGGGGCTCTCGCATCGGGCTCAAAGCAGCAATCCCCTGTTCGCAGGATGACCACCGGTGCCCCTTCTGCCGCAATATCCGATGTTACCAACAGTCCCAGAGGCGCCAGCAGGGCAAGCAGCGGCGTGACTAAGTCGCTGAAAAGTGGCTGGCTAGGGAAGATTCGGGGAGCGTCCTCAACACAGCCTGGGCACAGGACATTCTCGTCACGTCCGCCTTCTCGTAATGAACCGAGTGGGCACTCATGACTTTAGTTTCCATCGCGATGCCTGCATCTCTTTATTGCTCCAGGACTGCTGCCTTCCATCATATGTATCATTACGCATATCTATCTTATCGAATGAATTGTATTACTTGTCGTCGAGGATCTGCTAGACCTACATGTTGCGATTGCCAGTGTCAATCAAGCCGCCATATACTCATGATCACTCAGACTTGTGGACGGCGCCTCCTCAGGCTTCAATAGCCAGTAGATAGGTGGGCAATCCTAATGATCACCCAGATTCTCAGATACGACGGTGGCGTCTGTAGTGCTACGTATGTAGTCAAGTCAGGAATTGCTTGCTTCCAGCCATGTTCTCTTCTAAACACCATGGCGATGCCACGCATGCAGACCTCTCGATAGAGTTGCGGGAGATTCAAGACTGGCAGGTCGGGACGCTTCTGCTACGAGGACACTGTTTGGACGTTACGGCCGTTGCGGTCGATGCAGTGTCCAACACTGTGGCCATCGGTAGGGCTGAACATGACTGATCTCTGCGGCCCTCAAGTAATCCAGAAAATCAGGCACCGCTGAGGGTGAACTACACATTCTAGGTGGCCCTGGTGTCGAGAAGCACTGGGCTCTGCCAGAGCCCAGACGGATCAAATTGCTGCAGTACGCTGCTTCCGTTCTAAAGCTACTTTGCCTAGGTTCGAGCTCCAGTACTGCAGATTGGCTTCCGAGTCGATGGCACTGACGAAGACGATCGTCATTGATAGATGATCAGGATCGCATGTATGTCTGGGATATATCCCGGCAGGACCAGCCTAAGCTACAGGCAAGCACCAGGCTCGGTGCTCCTGCTAAGTGAATGATCCTGAGTGTCTTTCTCAACGGAGTATTCTAATCCCAGTAACACCCCTTCAGTTGGTTAACAGTGTCTCCCTCGCATACCCATGTCGGTCTTGTGTAGCTCATGGGGATGCGTCGCTCATACTCGAGATAGGCGTTCGTAGCCCTAGGATCAGGGGAAGTCAAAACTTATGACCTTCTATGCTTGCGCGCCTCTCCCTACACCATACCCAACTTATTGTCTTTATACGAGAAAGAGGCATCAAGGGAGAGTGAAGGTTGGCCATCCACCACAGAACCGTATGTCCTTCGCGTGCGTTTTGGGTCAACGAACTAATTGCTGTTGTAGCTCTAGATCTGTTCCCTTGGAAGTGGTAGTACACCCCCGGAATCTAGATCTGCTTTTCATAGCATATAGCGGTGGGATGAAGATCTGTCTTCCCTCAGAGTACACGACTCATCTCCACTGTTAGACGGAGTTGTTCTCTCTGACCTTGTATGTCGCATCCTTCTCCGAGTAGTCCCCTGGTCTACATGTGTCAACAGGAACAACGCAGAACTGTAGGTGTATATCGACTAATCCTTCCCCCAGGAGCGCCTGGAGGAGCCGGCCATACGGGACCCGTACGCTCCCATTCCTTCGTAGTGTGGCCCAATGGGTAGACTTACCTCTGACCCTAGGATCTGTTGAAGATGCGAAGGCCCTCCGTCACAGCCATAGCGGTCCATCCATCAGGCCACTTCTTTGCTGCCGGTCACGCTGACGGTTGTATGTCATTTTGGGCGGTGGACGATACAGACAGTCCATTACTGGTCAGGACCTTCGATGCAGCGGACGTCAACCTGCCCAACATGGATCTATTTAACGAAGAGCGAACTACTAGTAGTCCACCAGACTCCGAAAGAGAGCCTGTATTCAAATTGGCATGGAGCGGATTTCCGAACTCTTCGGACCCGCGTGGAGGGGAAACCGCCTTGTTCATCTTGGGCGGGCAAACCAGTCGAGATCCACCGGGGATGTATGTGTTGTGGCTCCCGGCGTTCAATCCGGGAGAACCGCCTGCTACACCGGGTTCTCGAGCGCTCCATCCAGTTTTCCGAAAAGCTATGTGTGACTCTCTTGTCCCTATCGATGCTGCATTCTACTCCACATCTGGCTTGACCCAAGACTTCTACCTGATACCTCGGGATAGCCCTCATTTCAACGGTAGCTGGGATCCTGTTGCTATACTACTCTTGTCAGAAGGAGAAGGGAAGACCTGCGCCCTTGAAGCCTACTCAGTATCAGCACCGTACAGTATTCCTGCGGCGCTGCCCAATCCGAAACCGGACTTACCTGCTGCAGATGGTCAGTCCAATCTCGTCGACGAACTAGCTGCGACCCTGGAATCCCTGAAAGCGGACGATGGCGGACCTCGCCGATTGAACCTACCGCCTCACCTTTGGAGCGGGACTACGGCAGTAACATCAACCACGCTGCACATAATGGACAGAGATCCCTATGAGAGACTCGTGGATGGTGCGGCTGTGGACGAAGATAGATTCCCAGTCTCTGGCGGGTCGGCTTGGATTGACGAAGAAGCTGCCGGAAATGAGCTGAAATTTGCGAAGGCATGGCTGAGATTCATTCCGAGGAACCGTTTAGAGACTGATATATCACTCCGTCACAGTACCAACCCCATCGTATCATCATTTCCCAGCATCGTGATGGTACTGTGCGCTTCCAGGATATTAGTGCACAGATACGTCTTAAAACAGAGTCGGCTCCGCTGGAGAGGAATATACCAAGTCCTCTTCCTGCATTGACAATTGACCCTCTTTTTGCGCTCTCTGATCCGTCGTTGTTGACCCATTTCCCTCCAGAATTCTCAGCCCAAGTTAAGGTCCGCAGTGTGGTCCTTGCACCCGAGTCACTGGAATGCTACATCATTTTGAGGTTGGGCGAAGTTCTGGTATACCGATTTGGGCCCGGAAATAGCGACATCCAAGCACCTCCGATGACACTCCCTGATGCGGAGCTGGTCTCGCTACGTCATATATCAGCGCCGCTGCAACAAAAATTCCACCCTTATCTCCTCGTGGCTGCTAAGAAGGGACCCGTTGTAGCGTGTGCTCCGTCGGATATTGGCAAGTTCACTTATGTCTTCGTGAAGCCTCCTCATTCACCTTTGTCTAAGGATTTTTTGCGGTTTCGTATATCAGCGGGTTGCTCCTCATCGTTGACCTGCGGGGTCCGAAGATCATATACAGGAGCGATAAGGACCCATCGACTAAGAGGAAATCAGCCTTCCATAGACATTCCCAAGAATTGGAGAGTTTCACCACATTGACCTGGACAGTATGTCGCATGGCATCTGGTGCGTAACGCAGGGTGTTAAATGGCAACTGTGTTCATAATAATGAACAGATCCTATGCCCCGGGTTCGCCTCCTGGCCATTCCCGCATCTGGGCGCACCAGAGTCTTCTCGCTTAATAGAGCATCAAGCGGCTCATGGGCCGTCGATTTCATGCCTAACCCTCCAGAAGCACCCTCTGAACCAATCTTCTCCGCATTCATCGATGCTTACTCCGGCGCGAGATTCAAAGCCGACCGGTATGGTCTGTCTCGGGCACTCGACCCTAGTACAGAGGACGCTATAGCCGGAAAAGGTCATAGTTACTGGATCGTGGCAGGTGCGAAGGGCATACGATGCAGTTTCGACCTCGACGGGCACAAGATTGGAAAAGCAGACTGGGGAAGCAAGATCGGTAAGGTCGAATGCTGTGAGATTGTCGAAAGGAACGGTATGAGGATGGATCCACCTTCTCAAGTAAGACCGCTTCTAAATTATTGACGTCCTGGTCCAGGATCCCAAGCATTCGTTGCCTTCACTGATGGTCACGAGGCCCTAATATATTCCCTACCCGCTCTTGAGCACCTCCATACCCTGCAGCTACCACAGCAATCCAACCTGTATGGCAGACCCTCTATTCTCATAGGAAAACCCGACTGAAACCTGTCACTAGCCCTGTCTCCCCAGATGCATCGGGTGACTTCCTCCACCACGCAACCCACCCGTCGGCGGCGTCACTCATATCCCGTACGACCTACGCCACCCTCTTCGATATCCGGCGGGCATATTACCACATCAAGCCCGAGGTAGACGTGCTCACGCGAAGCGACACGGGCAAGCGAGGGGTTATCCCTCCCCAGCCGCAACCCGTGTCTATGGGTCCGCCGAGCATTAAGGACGTCGTAGGCGGGTGGTTAGGCGCGATCGGTGCCGGACTGGGAGGAAAGCCTGTCATGACAGGAGAGCAGATTGATGCTTTGTGTGCGCTGCGTATCATTCTGTTCAGTGTTTATTTGTCTGATAATTAAATTCCCGAACATAGTGGCAGGACCCAACAGACCTCTTCCCAAGCCGGCGCCGGCGCCTGCACCCAAGTCACCACCTTCAACGGATCGCGCTTCGGTTCGGACGTCCAATACCATGAGCAGTCGTCGAAGTCGAGGTACCTCGCGCTCGCCTAGTCCAGATGCATCCCAAGAAGGGTCAAGTACCACCGGATTATATGACAGGCTCACTTCCGCTATATCTGAGCGCGGGTGAGTAGCTGTCTGCATCTAGAATTAGAGCAGTATCTGACGAACCGCTCCATACCCTTCCTTTAGAGAGGCGCTAGGCGATCTGGAGGAACAGTTCAAATCATTAGAAGAAGGTAGCAAAGGCATGATAGCTCAGGTATGCGCAGCCTTTGGAAACTCCGCGCAATTTTGTGCTGATTCACATCAGGCTAAACGTCTAGCTACGCAGCAGACAGCCAAGTCATGGTTCGGTCTCTAGCATTGTCCGGTTCTGCGAAACGATTTATCTGGAGGCCATGGGAATCAGTATGGACGACGAATGGCCCATTAGGAGTGAATGCACGCGAGCTGAACACAAACGTATGATACAATCGTTTTCTATGTATTTGTACAGACAATACATGCTACATCTTGGCTACACTGAACATCACAAATCACTCGTACACAGCACGAAATTGCCGGGTTCCCACTTACGCCTTCTTAGGAGGCTCCTTGCCGACAAACATGTCGGTGACGCTCGCAGTGAGCTTCTTGCGGGCTTCGTTAATGTAGCCAAGGAAGCCATCGCTGGCATCAGTCTCGCGTTTATGGTCCCACTCTTCGTGATGTTCAGTGATTTGGTGAGACGAGTTGGTGTGCAAAGTGAGCAAGGAGTTAACAGTCTGCAACAATGCTGTCAGACGAGGTGCAATAAGCAGATGTAGGGAGGTATACTGACCTTGGTAGGCCCAGAAGCCTTCGGGTCACGGAAGTACGAGACATCCTGGTCGACCAAGATCGTACTTTTCGGCACGGTCTTGGGGTTCTCAAGAACACGGAATTTGCCAATGTCCGCACGAGGGAAGATCTGGGTGTACGCGTCGCGTCAGTCATTGCTACAGCCCAAAAGATGAACGAGCAACCTTCACGAGCCCGTTGAACTGGGCGCGGATGGCGTCGGCACCTTTGGCGATCCCGACGGGGTCATGGAAGATGGCATCAGGCGCGTATACATGGTAAGTAGACTGAAAGGGTAGAATTGTTAAGCACATCCTGCGAGCAAAAATTGCGTGAACGCGGTACCTCCTTGGGATTAGAGGTGTAGAGCTGGATATATGCGTCTATTAGCCAGCAAAAACCCGTCACAGACGCGCACTGACCTCTCTGATGGCCTGAAGGATAGGCTTCTCGTGTTCCTCGGGCTGTCTCTCGCTGAGAGAGCGGCTCTCAGTGGGCGTGAGGCCGGCAGCGTTCTTCGCGTTAGGGTCAGACGAAGGCATCCTGTTTATGCTGGAAGTCTGGAATAAACGGCGGCGAGCAACAGTTGAGGTGCGGCAGACCGGGTGCGAGTAAGATGAGGGGAGACGGAGGGGCATGGGTCTGCTCCCATCCTGCACAGCAGCTTATATAGACCTTTGGGTGACAGGGAAGTGACCATCGGGAGGAAGTCAAGCTGGTCAAGCGGGGGTGATGCAAGCGGGGACGCGATCGACGCGTACGTCATGTGGCAGATCCCCGGAAGTAACTTCGAAGCGTGATTTGGTGAAGTGGTACGCGTGATTATATGGAAGAGCTCACGCCACAGTCAGACAAGCGTGGGACCAGCGTGCTTCAGAGCAGTGTCGTCGCCTTCAAAGCGTCATATCACTCGAAACATAGTCGTATATCGTGTGCCACATACAGTCCTAGAACTAATACAAAGATAGAAGAAAAGAAATAAAGATAGTCATAGCATGTGGCATCCGCCTTAGGCACCGAAACCGTACAGGGTCCTGCCGGACCGCTTGAGGGCGTAGACAACATCGAGGGCGGTGACAGTTTTCCTGAGCAGCCGTACTCCTGTGAGCAACAACGGATGTTAAAGAAAGGACGACCGCCACTGACCTCTTGGCGTGCTCGGTGTAAGTAACCGAGTCCCGGATGACATTCTCCAAGAAAATCTTCAGGACACCGCGAGTCTCCTCGTAGATGAGACCTGAGATACGCTTGACACCACCACGACGGGCGAGACGGCGGATAGCCTGACACATACAGTGAGTGGCAGGGATCGGCAGACCGACAGGTCGACGATACTTACGGGCTTGGTGATACCCTGGATGTTGTCGCGCAGAATCTTCCTGTGGCGCTTAGCACCGCCCTTTCCGAGACCCTACAACCCCCCTGTCAGCGACTTCCCCCAACACCCGAAGAATCGAATATGCAGTACCTTGCCACCTTTGCCGCGTCCAGACATGTCGTGTTATAGATTGAAGGAGATGATAGAGAAGTGGGTTGAGGGAGGCAGCCGAGACTTGCGGGCTGGCGGAAGCAGTGGTGGTGGTGGTTGCAGAGAGAGCCGGATGAGCGACGACGCGCGAACGCGCCTCGTTTATGTATACACGGAGTCACGTGCTACGCGCGTTCTATCGCTGTGACCTTCGTGACCACATCACGCCTGGTCCTGCTCAACACAATGGACGTATCGCAAGACATACCAAGGCCCCCGCGGTTCCTATGTGATCTCTACGACATCCCATCGGAGTCTACCCTCTTCACGACTACGACGGGACGCTTGAGGAGCTCCGGCAAGGCTCGCCCATACGTTACGCTCACCTTCGCCCAGAGCTCCGATGCGAAGATCGCAGGCCCGGGCGGTACGCAGGTCGCGCTGAGCGGCGAGGAGAGTATGCTTATGACACACTGGTGAGCCTCGATTTTAAAATATGCTAGGCAGACACAAGATTTTGATATGCACGGTGGTCGTATAAGAAGGATGAGGACCATGCATGACGCGATCCTCGTAGGGATCGGGACGGCGCTGAACGACGACCCCCAGCTGAATGGTAAGCCTCACTATAATACATCGTATGAACGAAGCGCCACGCGTTTCCTCGCCAGCGCCAACTACTCTGTCCCCTCGCTCTCTGAATCGGGATGGATCAGAGAGCGAGCTGACAGAGAGCCAGTCGTTGACCGGTTCCCTCATCACATAGTTGGAGAGTACATATACACATTGATTGTTGTCTACAGTCAGACATCTCCCGCCTCTCCCTGCCGGTACCCGCCTAAAATATCACCTTCCCCGCCCGGTTATCCTCGATGCGCACCTCCGTCTGCGACCGGACTGCAAACTCCTGAAGAATTACCAAGCCTCAAATGGACGGCGGCCCTGGGTCTTCTGCTTACCCACGGGTAGTCAAGACGAAGGATTCATCGCCAGAGCAGAGACGCTGCGCAACGCCGGCGCGCGTATATTCGAGGTCCCCGGGGACGGCGGTGCGTCCGCCCCCACACTTTACAACTACTACAGATGCTGACAGTCGAAAAGAATCCCTGTCACTCCCAGCGGTTCTCACAGTCCTGTATGACAATTGGATCGAGTCTGTCATGGTCGAAGGTGGCGCGAAGGTCATCAACTCGTTCCTGAACCTCGCGCGGGAGGAGGACGTTGTGGATACGCTGATTGTCACCCAAGCGCCTGTGAGGTTGGGGGAGGATGCCGTTGGGTATGGCACGAACATTTTGGCTGGCGGGGGGGCGGCGGTGGGTCCTTTTATCTGCAACTTCCGCCGGTTCGCTGTTGCTGATGTCGCTCCAGCTTCCTGACATGGTGCATGTTGCGACGGCGAAGATGGGTCCTGATAATGTGGTAGCGTTTAAGAGACACCGATCTTGACCCACACCCTGCACCTCCCATCGTGGATGCTGCGCAAGTGCAGCGGTCGCTGAGGTATCTAGTGACGGACTTGGCTATGGGGGACCTACATCCGCGAGTAGATACCTCGAGCAGGGTCCGAACTCAGAGACAACTTATAAGTACGTGACGGGATATAACGAACTTGCTTATTTACACTGGCTCCTGATGGAAGCCAGAGGCTGCAGCTATAGAACGGGTTTCTCGCGGTCGGGGATCTCGAGGGACTCTAATCTTGAGTTTGTATGATTCCGACGCTGGCATGTAGGTTTGGGATGAGATATTAATGGACTGGATTGAAGCAGCAGCGGAAACGGATCGGGATCCGGGGACCGCAGGATCCGTGCATGTGTGTGTGATTGGACAGATGCCTGACAACAGTGTCATAGAGTGTATAAGAAGGACAACTAGAAGCAGCAACTATTGAAGGCGAAGGGAAGATCACCCAATGGGGATTCTGGTTATATAGCAGGGCATATGGGTCGTGCGCCAGTACGGGAACGGAACGCATCCCGACGGGATCAGCTAACAAAGATTGCAGCCAGTAAGGATGGCTAGAGTATACGAAATACGAAGAAAGTCCTTCTTGAATCCAATCATACGGCCTGCTGGGAAAGGGACGCTGTGGAGTGCGAGAAAGGAGATCCGGAAATAGCGGCAGGGAAAGCAGACGAGGGTGAATTGTCGGAGGAAAGCGTTTGAGCAGGGAGCGGGATGGGACGCAGATCGCCGGGGGCGGGGCCGGGCAAGGAGCGTTGACGGCGAGGCGGGCGTTGTGGACGCGTCTGAGGCGGACGTGCCTGGCGTTCGAGACCGGGCCGGCGGTAGGTCCAGGAAGGGCGGGAGTGACAGGCGTGACATCAGCAGTGCAGCACAGCGAGCGCGTCGAGTGCGAGGACGGCTGAGACGATGACGTCGATGTATTCGCAATATGGCCCGTTGACGACCCGAAGCCACCGCGCTATATTACCTCGCTCTGGTTCTGTCGCTTTCCGTATCCTGCCTACCGCCCTTGGCCTGTGCCTGATTCAGCCACTCCATTCATCCGTCAACGCGCTGGCGTCAACTCACCTCTCGTCCTGATACCCTCAACTTGCATGCCAGCCTCGGCCCTCGTGCATTCCAAGTCCTGGTCGAAATGGATCAAGTTCTCGCGTGGTTCCAGTACCGCTGATGAAGCCAAACGCTCGGACTCTGCACAGAGCGCGAATGAGTTCGGAGCGCTCGAGGAGAAAAGCGCAGTGGCGCGCCAGTACGGGTACGCTGCCAGCTCGAACGCGCCCCGCCCCAGCGGACCAGCGCACACCCAGTCGCTGCGGGTCACGGCTCGGCCGCAGCGTCGATCCTCTCGTGAGTATTCGTATCCTCTATCTACCACACGCGGCAGCCCTGATCTATCTCTGGACGCTCCTTCCCAAGGTGTCGCCCATTCGCTCTCTGACAATACCCTCCCCGCGCCGCACCATGCTTCGCCTTCTCGATTCACCTACCATCCCACCCAGCCCAGCCCGCTTTCCCTCACCGACGTTGGCCCCAGCAGTAGCACTACTTCCTCCTCATATACATCCCTCTCTTCTGCCTCTCCTTCCTCTCCTTCTCTCTTACCTTCTGCGGCTCATCCATCACCTAATGTCCTTCCAAATCCAATCCCCGAGCCTTATCAGAACCACGATCCCCCTTCTAAATCTGCCCACTCCCACTCCCACGTGCCTAATTCCAATGCCGTGTCTGCAACACAACACCAGACAAAGAACATCCTCGGCAGTGCTAAGCTTGCACAGAAGCCGCTGCCCCCCATCCCGTCCCCACACCAGCCCCCGCACTCACGTCGCCCCTCGTCCTCCTACGACCACGACGACTCGTCCTTGGGCCATAGTCACGGGCACCACTACGCCTCAACGGACGTAGGGCATCACTCTCCGCCCGCCGCCCTCCGTCGATACGACCCTTCGTACTCGGATATCGGCCATTCCTCCGGCCCTGGAGGTTACACCTGGACTGACCTCGGCCACGCCCCAGAAGAATCAGACTATCATTATCCTTACTCCGGCCACTCCAACCCCAACTACCACTTTTCCCTGGACGACTTTGACGATCTCGCCCCACCGCATCCCACCTTTGCCTCTTCCTCCACGCCCTCTTCCTCATCCTCGACGCTGAGCGCGCCCCGGCCGCACAGCAGACACAAAGCGCTTTTCGGCAGGAAAGCACACAGTGACATCGGGCACGGGGCTGCGTCTTCGTCATCTGCGCCGCCACACCTCGCCACGCACGTTCCTCGCGACGGGGCTGCGCCATCAGAAGCCCACGCCCACTCGCACTCTGCGTGCCCGCCGTCGTTCGGCCGGCACTCGCACTCGTTCCTCGCATCTGATCACGCCTCCCCGCGGAGGAAGCTGAGGAAGCACCCCCCGTCGGCGTCGGCTTCTGCATCGCGGATCGAGCTGGCTAGGAGAGGGAGCAGTATGGACGTGTCGAATATCCGGCCGGCGTCGATGGTCGTGAGCCCGATGGGCCCGCCCATGCTCGGCATGCCGTCGTTCTGCAGTGGGAAAGCCCACGGGCACGGGTACCAGGAGAAGCGGCCCGCGCCGCTCCCGCTGCTCGCGGGCAAGGACAAGCGCAAGGACAAGGAGAACGAGGTCCCGCCGAAGAAGCCGGGCCTGATGCGGCGCTGGACGCTCACGCGCCCGGGCCCGGCGATGAAGGTGTCGAGCTCGTCCGCGAGCGCGAGCAACGAGGACTCGGCGAGCACGCACGACGCGAGCGCGAGCACGAGCCACACCGGGATCACGACGCCGGACTCGGGCGAGATGGAGTTTGCGCTCGGGGCAAGGAACGCGGTGAGCGAGTGCGGGCATGGTGGGTACAGGTATGGGTACGCGAGCGAGTCGACGGTGGGCAGCCCGCGCGCGAGTCTGAGTATGAGCGTGTTCACGGGGGAGACGGTTGCGCCCGCGCAGATGGTGGGCGGGAAGAGGGTGAGCAGGAAGCTGACGAAGAGGAGGAGGCCAAGTACGGGTGCCGCCCCGACGACGCCTGTGACGCCATACTCCGAGTTCGCCCCGGGGAGCGTCGGCTCGCCAGGGAGCTCGACGGTCGAGTTCCAGCCGCGCTCGCCCTGGCTGGGCGGGGGCGGGGGCGAGGAGAGGCGGCGGAAGACGCCCGCGCAGTCGTTCGTGGAGAGCCCGACGAGCATCGCGTCGCCACCGTCGCGCTCGCCCAGCTCGGGCTGGCTGAGCGGCGGCGAGGGCGAGCGGAAGCGCAAGCTGAAGAAGCGACGGCCGAACGATATTAATACTGTGAGTAGTCTGTCTCCATTTACTGGCTTGTCCCCCTTCGTGTGCGTCGCGAGTCCGCCGTGGCGGGTGTTGGCCCCTATCTGTCAATTGTGATTAGGGCGGAGTGCTGATCGTTTGCTTTTGCCTTTCCGTTTTGGCCGGTCCCGCGTCCCGCGTCGTCACTCGCCCGACGCCGCGTGCTTGTTGTACATTGAACCACTCGTCCACGCACGCACAGTCGACGCCCGCCTCGCCTGTCGACGCCCCCGCCGCGTTTTGGGAGAACCTGGACGCGTATCCGCACCCGCTTGCGCTGGACATGTCGAGCTCGTCGTACGCCGCCGCGAGCGCGGCCATGTCGCCGGTTGCGTCGCCCACCTCGCCGACGTCTGGGTCGTCGCCGTTCTCGAGCAGCGTGCTCTCGCTCGGGCGCGCGAGCAATAAGGCGAAGAGCAAGAGTCGGCTGACGTTGAATGTGAGCCCTGGGCCGGAGGAGGGGGGTGCCAGGCAGAGTGGAAGTGGGGAGGGGTGGGATCCGTATGAGGGGAGTGGGGGGAAGGGGAAGGGGACGGCGATTGAGAGGAGGATTCTGGAGCCGGGGGAGTATGCGCTTCCTGGGGATGCCGGGGATGGTGGGTCCGAGGGGGCGCCGCTGTCTCCGCCGCCCCCGCCGAGGCTGAGGGAGGCGCAGGTGCGGTCGAAGAGCCGGAAGAGGGAGGAGTTGTCCCGACCAGGTAGTCCTGACACTGAGGAGGGCGCGATGAGGAGGTGGACGATGGCGTTTGGAGATGAGGAAGAGGAGGGCGCGGGCTTTGGTGGCGATAGGGTTAGGAGTCGGACGAGCACGAAGACGAGTAGGGGCGGCAGGAGTCGGGCCGGGAGTGCGGTGATGAGCATGATGAGTCGGCCAGAGGGGAATGTAGCGGAGAGGAGTGTGGGTGAAGAAGAGGGGATGGGGATCGAACTGGAGGAGATGGGAGGGGCAATTGGGATTGCGTTGACCACGAGCCAGGAGGGGAGCCTGCGGAGCTCGAGTCGGTGGAGGTGCAGCTACGACCCGAGGGGGAGCGGGATGGTGTACGGTGCGCAGGACGAGGAGGATGAGGAGCACGAAGATGACGACGAGGACGAGGTATGGGGTGACGGAAGGGAGGAGTGGCTGGAGATCAAGAAGGCAAAGATGTGCTGTCGGGAGCTGGTCAGGACAGAAAGGAACTACTTGCGATGTCTGAGGGATTTGATTGACGGCGAGGTATGTCCGTGTGACCCATTTGATACGTCTTTGAATTGACATCCGGTCTGTCAATTAGACGCAGACGCCGCCATCGCCCTTGTTACTTGCGTATCTGCCGGCTCTGCTCGCTGCGTCAAATTCGTTCCTCGCGCACCTGGTCTCTGATCCGACGCCCTATGGCGTATCCGCTGCCTTCCTTGGTTGCGAGGATGAAATGGAGGCCGCCTTTGTGGCTTGGTGTGGGATAGTCGGCTGCGTCTTTGCTGACGGTACCCCGAGCTCGAGAGGGCGCAAAGCCGCGAAGGAAGGGCTCAGTGTCGGACAGCGAGCCAAGAGCGGCTTCTTCGGCAAAGGTCTCCCTTCCGGAGAGGGCAGACCCAGCGCACGGAGTGTCTCTTACGTCGGGACTGTTGACATCACCGGAACTGGTATGTTCACTGCTGCCCTGGGCTCGGGCCTGAAATTTCCGCTCGCGCCGCTCAATGTCAACGCTGTCGCTGTGGCACCGAAAAAGTCTGCGAGCTCCTGGAGAAAGAGTATGCCGGCCCTAGGGAACTTTGTTGTTACCCCGAGTAACGGCAGCAGCTCGAATAGCGGTGCATCAACTATCCGTCTGGTTGGCAAGCGGAAGCACCAGAAGAGCGGGAGTACCTTCTTCTTTGCTAGCGTGGAGAACGATGGGGACGACGACTCGGGGAAGGAAAAGGAGAAGAGGAAGAAAAGGCCTACAGTGAGGGATCTGGCGATCCAGCCCGTTCAGAGGGTGATGCGCTACGTGTTGCAGTATAAAGGTATGTCATAAAAGCCCAGGATCTGAATGATTCTTATTGACCAACTGATTCAGACCTACTCAACCATACCCCTGCATCTTCGCCAGCCCGAGCATTGGTCGAACGCGCCCTGGAGGGCGCTACGCGGATCGCAGCAAAATGCGACCGGGCGCAGGACAACGCTGCGTTCCTACGTTGATCTTGCCACTAATGACAGGATACCGTCGCCGACGTTACGATTGGATGATGACCGCACAATCAGCCACTAGCAGGATTCCTTCATTTCAGCTCACGACTTTAGATCCATCTTTTCACCGGTCTCGATTTTTAATGGGTACCCTTCACATTCATGTGTCTCTCATCTTGCACTCGTTAATTCTTGTGCCCCTTCCCTGCTCCCCTATGGCGGCCCTTGGTTTGTTGTGGCCACGCCGTTTCATTCAAACCTCACATACGTGTTCCCCCTTGCACCATAAATATGCATCCATCTGTCAGCTATATATCCATCTGCATCTGCATCTAGCCTGTATCTTGAGTAAACGTGTATTTTATCTGACAAGCAAACATTAGCTGCGATTGAGATGGTCTGCATATTAAAGTGATTCCTGTGCAATGCTTCTCTGGGAAATGTGGCTACAAACCACGTGTCGTTCCGCTGCCACACCGACGCGCATCCGAGTCTGCCTGCCCTTTAACTCGAAACTTGTTGCAACAGAGGTGGCATGATCCCGGAATCATAGCACCAGTTCAGAGGCTTGTTCCATTCTGTGACTCCTCTACGCAATTCAGCGCTTCAAGCTTTAGCCCTTGTTGTATTCACTTCTCTGGCCGGTCCAGGACTCGTCGTTATGGGCGACGATCTTAACCCCCTCAAGCGACCACGCATTCAGGATGCTAGTCCGTCAGACTCCATCGTTGATGTCAAGAAACACCCGTCGCTTTACCTCTCAGATGGCAACATCGTTCTTTACTCTGCCGCCAGTGAAGGAGAAGCAGTAGCGTTCTGTGTCCACAGAAGTATGCTGTCGAAAGTATCCCTTATTTTCGCAGATATGTTCTCTTTGCCTCCGTCGGACGTGAATGAGCAGCACGAAGGGCGGCCTGTGGTCCGGATGCAAGACCGGGCGTCTGACTTGGAACAGCTCTTGAAGATTCTCTATCATGAATCGTAAGATATCCTTTGCATGTGGATGTTTACGATAACTGATGTACGGATAGATCTCTTCCTATGAAGCGCCTCGACCCACAGTTCCCATCTGAAGTCAAGCCTATCCTTCAACTCGCAAACAAATATGAAATCACCTCGCTGAGGGGTCAAATCGTGTCGCGCCTGACGGAGGATTGGCCGACGACTCTGCGAGAGTGGGATGCGCTTGAAAAGGATATCGCGACCATGCGAGAGACCTGGGACGAACGTCTCGACTACACTGCTTCGGGCTCCGATTTTTCTCTCGATTCCCATTTACCGGAACCCGTTGGAGCGCTGCACTTGGCCAAAGAATGTGAGGTGCCTCAAATTCTACCTGCCGTATTCTACCATCTTTCACGACTCTCTTTTTCCTTCTTATTTTCATGGGCCGGAAATGCAAGAAGCTTCTTTGTGTCACCCAACGGTTCCTGACTGTCGGCTCTTCATGCAGTCATTGACACGTTGTTTCCTTGACGGCAGTGATGAGTGCGACATTCTCGGAGTGCTGAAGCAACGCTACGAAAATTTGGATGTAGAGGAAATTTACCCAGGCATGTGCGGCGAGTGTAGAGATGGCTTTAGGGAAAAGATCAAGGAAATACGGGTCTTTCTATGGGAGCATACCCCCAGATTCTTCGGTATATAACACCCAATGCGTTCATCCACGTGATGTATGCACCTGGGTTGACTCCAACTTTGCATGATCATCTGCACGTTCAGTACGGGGTGAATCGTACGTCGATTGCCAATTTTCCCCCACTTTACGCTGACCAACAATAGTACACAGTATATCATGGACTGACGGGAATGGTGGCTTGCGCCTCCGCCTCCACGCATTGTCGTTGGTCAAGGCCGATTGGCAAGATCAGAGATCTCAGGCATTGATGTCCTGAGGCCAAGTGTAGGCGACCTACTTATGATATCGCGGTGTATCAGTCGGCCGTACCATGTCTGTTCACTGCGTGAGGACGAGAGAACGGATGGCTCTAGATCCTACATCCTGTTTTCAAAAGGACGTGAGACATTACCGACTCGGACGAGAATTAGAGTTGTACTGTGCATTGCTATCTCGTCCCTGCGTTCTGCATCAAGGCCGATTTGGACGGTCTATCATAAATGCCGATGTCTAGGGAGGACTTGACAGGTGGCGTACCGGCGCATTAGTACTTAGGAAAGACGATTACGACATGTTCGGAGACGGGCACAGATGGACCCTGCGTGGAAGTCAAATCCTTCCCTTCCCCGTCAGATGTTATGATCATTGACCAGGCATGTGCAGCGCCGACCATTGCCGTGATATAAGATGCTTTGTCTTCGTGGCTCTTGCTTCCGCTTTGTATCTTCCTCTGGGGTGATCCTGCCAGTGGACGAATAACTTGGCATAAGCCATTAAGCAGTTGTCATACCTGGACACCTCCTATTACTGTCAGATTCGGGGCGCGATACAGAGACGCGATTATTGTCATGGGCGACTTCCAACTCGTCGACCCTCGGGGCTGGGAGTATGACTTACATTCTGTACGTCGTCGCAACCTCTTGGGCTAGTTTGTATTCTTGCTAAGATCTTCGTTCCTAGGTCTATTCTGCCTACATGGGCCATTTCCAACACTACGGGATTCCATGGTATGCACCGCCTGTACAACTCAGATCCGGCGGACGCTGATTCAACCTGGTGTCAGGTATGAACGGTCCTGGGGGGTCATGTTCGAATCTTTCGACGAATTCTTGACATTCTCCTGGCCTGTCATCGTAGTCACGGACTCTTGGACTGGAAGAGCACATATCGTGACTCGGATGACTTCTATCGGAGCATTCCTGAAAATGATTAAGACAAGGTATACTCGTTGTGCCCTGTGTGGCAAGGCTAGTGACTAAATCAATGTAGATTTGGTGAAACACTCCCGAATGTAGACAATATACTGAAAATCAGTCCCTTCGAGGCACATCAAAGGCCTCTTCGTACGGTGTCAGACTGGTCGTCGTACAAAAAGGTTTTTGCCACGCTCCCGGCTGTCACGCAAGCTGCCTACAAAGTTCGAGTGAAAAGCGGAGAGCCCAAAGCTGTCCGTGAGTTGTGGGAAAAGAAGGATAAGACATTCCTGGCGATCGATTTTGAGTGGTCGGAGCGGAATGCGACCAGTTGTCTCGAGTGGGGTTATGCTGCAGTAAGGTGTGGTCACCTTGACGCGTACGTCCCCGATTGTCCGTGACGAAAGAGTTATTTGACGAAGATTGGTTGAACAGAGTAGGTACCTGGCCGCCATCCCCGGATAACTATAGGTTAGTGTTTTCTCCGTTGCTTCTGCCCGCATCCCAACCGGTCACACAGGAAAGGCCACTATATAGTCGCCGAATACGTCGATAAGCTCGTCAATAAGCATCAACCGACTTTTCCTTGGGCTGTACGTCCCGACACGCGATCTGAGATCTCTAGACACTGACAATTTATAGTATGCTGTACGCCTTTGAGCCACGTCACTTTGACGTCCATGCACTCAGACTGGTTTACAGTTTGGCGACAGTCAAGTTATCCCCAAAGCCAAGTTACCGCAAATCATACAGGCAATAATCAGGTGAGCTACCATATTTGCCAACTTTCCAACACATCTAATGGTAGATCGACCTTTACAGCAGTCTAGCAAGTCCCAGTTCCGATAGCCAGCCAAATACACTAGTTCTAGTAGCTCATGGCATCCACGGTGATCTCCAACGCCTTGAGGAAATGAAAATCAGTGCGTTTCCTGTCCCAGTCGATGTTTACGCCGCTCAACACACGCTCAACATCACACCAGAGATTCCTTCGAATGCAGTGATCATCGATACGGCCGCTTTTGAGCGTGAACTGTTCAACATGGGGCTGCGAGGACCCATGCAAGACATGAAGACGGGCAAACCTCGGAAACCAGGCTCTACTCTTTCTCTTGGGAATCTTCTGGCATCCATGAAAGTCAACGTGCAGTGTGCTCTTCATAATTCTGGCAACGATGCCATGATGTGCCTCTTCGCCCTGCAGAAGCTTTTTGACCCGGAGAACACGAAGGTCCCCATGGTACAAGTACGGCAGCCGCCTGTGCCGCCTAATACTTACGGGGTTTCTCCGTCGCCGACGATGATGGTGCCGTCTGTCTCTCTACAACCATGGGTGAACTACGGAGGATCGTCCCCTTCTGGGAGCTCTCCCTCTCCCAGCGAATGGCGCCGAAGTACGGCAAGCAATCACAACCTCTCGGGAGACGAGGGTCGTCGTGGCTCGCCGAACTATTTCAACTTCCGCGACCAAGACGTCGGCACGAACCCTCATAGACTATCAGCAATCAGCACTGGCAGCCGGGAATCGAGGAGATTAAGCTCTCTGACGGACGAGATGGGTTATAGGCGAGACCGGTCGTCTAGTCGGGAACCCCTAGATCGCTCTATGAGGAATTTGACCATTGGGTAGGATGCGAACACTTTTAATATTTACGTGACGACTACCACAGTATCTGTGGGACGGACAGCTACGGACTTCTGCCAGATTAGCTATTAGAAGCATTTATGCCACGCTTTGGTCCCTGTTAAATAGCAAGGGAGAGCATACCTTTGAATACGACCGACCATCCGCGTCGCCGGTAAATCTGCGAATGGTACGTTCCGCGCTGTCAGCTACTGCGACGGTGCCACTTTGTGAAGAGCACTCAAGAATACTACCCAATGCTAACTTGGGGTCTGGTTATAGCCTAGAGAACATAACGAAAGTATTTGTTCTCTTTGTCCGTCAAATCCATAAACTCGATGTTCAACGCTTTTAGATCGTTTACCCCTTTGACCAGCAACCGATTTCGCTTCTTGTTCTCGCGCCAGTTCAGAATGTAGAAGGCCAGGAGAACTAGAATGGAAATAATCCACAGGATGATCGTGGTGGTTTTCCCTTTGGTATAGTATGGTGGGTCGCGGAACGTTTGCGGGCCCACGAAATACGCAACACCAAGGGTCACGAAGACAATACTGTTCAAGGTGGTCTTCTTGGTTGTCCCAAGGACGTTTGACGACATCATGGATATGACCACGAACCACGACGTCGAACATGTCCCTGACATGATGAAGTATGCGACCAGTTGACCATACTGCTTGTAGGTTGGTCCGACGTTCCCCAGCCCGAAAAGCAGACAGGCGGCGAAAAGGGATAGAAGGCCAGCGAGGATTGCTGCTCCGCTTCTTTGCTTGGTCTTGTCTGCCAGATAGCCGAACCCGATGTTGGCTAGGATGGCCACAACGCCTTGAGGGATAGACAACAGCAGCGTGGTTTTGCTGCCGAAGCCGATTGACTTGATTAATATTGAAGACAAAAGAACTAGACCTCCGGCTGGTATCTGTGATGACATCACGAAAGCGACATACATCCACGTCTAGAGAACGTCGGTCCCATATCAAAAACAGTGTATGTCAGTGAGCTTACCCTATAATCAGTACATGCCTCTACTGCCTGATACTTCTTGAATTTAGGTGATCCCACCCCCTGGTGATTATCCCGCAGACGTTCCACCGCGAGCGTCTTCTCCGACTCTGTGAAGAAGCGCGCGGTCACAATGGACCCAGCCATGAAGGACAACATGCAAGTGCCGTAGACAACGGACAGCAGGCCGGTGCACAGCGCCAGAATTTTCCAGCTAGAGAACCCCGCCTCTGGATCCCGCTCTTCGCCGTCGAGGCATCCATAGGCTATTATGCCGCCGACAATCGTAGCGACTCCCGTACATCCGGACCACAGCCCGACGCGACTCGCGTGCTCGTATTTCCTATACCACGCCGCGGTGATGAGCGTGAAGCCACAATTGATCGATGCCTCGAGGGCCCCTAGCACGGTGCGCTGCACCATCAGCGCTGCGAAGTTGTGGCAGGCACTCATGGTAGATAGGACCACGCCCCATGCGATCATACAGCAGGCGATATACTTTGAAGGGGGAAATACCTGGAACAGACGGTTATGCACCGGGACGAATGCGAGGTACCCGGCATAATAGATGGACCCGAGCCAGTTATATTCGCTCGCCGTCAACTGAGCTTCCGTCTGGATACCCATGACACCGGCGTAAGAGAGCCTGATGCGTGGCGTCAGAATGAAGATCAGGGTATAGCGAGGTACTGTGCTTACACGCCTTTGTCAAGGTACTGCAGGACGTACAGTCCGCAAAGCCAGGGAAGGACATGCAGGTCTATCTTCCGCAGCAGACGAGCGTTGAGCTCGTCGTCTATGGACACTGCGATAGCGCTGGCGTATTTTAGTGCCGCGTCTGCTCCTGTCCCCTCTGTCGCATGGCTTGTTTCTACACCAAGCTCTGAGACGGCAACTGCGACATCCACATCTACAGCGCTATCTTTCTTTTCGCCTGGACCCGAATTACAGAGGTCTTGATCCTTCCTGGTGGGGGGTATCTTGTCAGGCATAGCTGAAGGTAGGAGGTTAGGATAGTCCAGAAGTCGTATTAACCAAGAAGATAGTTCCAATAGACTGGGAGATACAGTGTATATTATAGGCCAACACGGATCAGGCGGCCCATGTATAGAGATAAGGATGCAGGACAGACCATGAATAGGACCGTACAGTGGTATGCAGAAGACTCTGAGAGATAAGATACCCAAGAAGCGGACAGGGTGCAACTTCTGGCTTCTAGCTCCGACTTCTATTGGGGCGTGGGGTTATTCACGCACTAGAGGTCCTCGGGGAACGCCACCGAGTCTCGCAATTCGACTTTCGTGTGCTTGCAGATCCAGTCCCGCGTATGCGGGTCGAATTCCGCGAAAGCATCATGGAAACAGACTAGCTTGTCGATCTTGAGCCCGGCTGCCTCTCTGGACGAGACGAGGTCGCGTAGGAGGTGCTCTTCGTCTTCAGCCGGGAACTGCCTGAGCCACGACAGGCTGCGGAGGTGCGGACATAACACTTCCTGGGTGGCAGACGGGATCAGGAGACGCAGGAAGTCAGAGTCGCCTGGGTCCTCGGTGTGGATGGCAAGCTCTTCGACGGACGGGAAGCACTGCAACAGCTTCACGCAGTAGTTCTGGGATTTGGCGTCTAGGACCGTGTGCAGAATGTCCACGTTGACGAGCGAGAGCTTTGACAGGCTGGGGAACCTGGGAGTAGAGTCCTTGCACATCGCATCGACAAACGCGCGGTAGGACTCCCACTGGAAGTGTTGCAAGTGAAGGGACTCCAGATGGGGCGCGCTGAAGCCCGCGAAGAAGTGCCGCGCGAAATAGCGGTCGACGTGGTGCAGCTCGATAGATAGCGACAAGAGAGACGGGAGCAGGAAAAGGGGGCTCTCGCGCGCACTCGCGTAGCGCCTGTCGTACGTGATGCACTCGTTGCGGATCATGAGATGTGTCAGGTCTGGGCAGGCGGCGAGGGTGTTCTGGAAGTCGGCCGGGGTCATGGCGTTGCCGTGCGGAAAACAGCTGAGCTCGAGCGAAGTTAGGCCCTTGAGGATGGGCAGGTACGTGCCGCATCGGGTTGCCAGAAGGGTGAGATGAGATAGTCTGGGAACGCCGCCGGTGAATATGGGACCCGGGTGATCTTCCTCGGGACAACGGATGTGGAGGCGTTCCAGACGGGGAGCGCGGGCGTTGTTGAGAGGAGCCATGACCGCTGTTAGGCATCTTCGATACATTTTAGCATCCCTGGAAGCGCAACTGGCGTTCAGCTCGAAGACGCGGAATCTGTCGACGCTTTGTGCAAGAAGAGAGACAGCGAGAACTAGGCTGTCTTCGTTTCGGAACGTTCCTTCGGAGCCTATGGAATTGAGCCACAGGAGGTCAATATGAACGTGGAGAGGGATAGCTGTGGATCTCTCAAACTGGATCTTCAGGAGCTCGACGGGGAAGTGCAGGGATATTCGTATGTTTCGCCAGAGACTGGGAGTGTGGATAGCGACCCTTCGCCAGTTCGCGGAGACCCATGACGCTACGAATGCAAAAGGGAGTAGCTTATCTGTCTCCTGTGCGGGGATGCAGTCCCATATCTTCGTCCATATTTCGTCCGGTAGCCGGACAGCGTAAGCTTGTCGCTCTTGCGACCCATCCGATAGTTCCGCAGCTAGCGTGTCGTACATGTGTCTAGGGGTTGTCGTGTAGGTTGTATAGTCTAGCGGTTGTCTAGGTTCGAGTGGGTTGGAGGAATTAGCAACTTGGCAGTGACCCATTCTGGTATGATATTGGTGGGCGGAAATTTATCTGCTTTCGATGGTAGTTAGGTCGTGCTGCAGCTGGAGGCATATCAACGGATTCCTACCTAAAGTGTGTAAATCAAAGGAAATTCTAGCAGAAGTGTCTATGAAGCGTGTAGGAATGCAGTGAAGGACATGCTAGCAGTCAAACAGGTTAACGTTCAGGCAGGACTGCGCGCAACGCCAGTGCAGCACGGTCAGCCAACAGACTGCCACTTGCACAGCCACTCTCGACTTCCTAGATCGCCTTCCCGATCTGATTCCGGAATCGCGATTTGCAGATCCCTGGCCGGCACTTTCGCCGCAGTTATGCCGCAGCCTGAAGATAACAATCGCTGCAACCTGGAGGCTCTCTCCATCCGGGCATGACAGGCTCAACACTAGAGGCAGGATCTCATATCCTTGTGGTGGGCGGTGGGACATGGGGACTCTCTACAGCGTGGCATCTTGCCCGGAGGTTTGCACCTTCTTTTGCGGTCACCATGTACAACTGAGCTGACCACGTACACTCAGGGGGTACACGAATATTACATGCATCGATAAATTCCCATATCCCTCTCCCGACTCCGCCGGATATGATCTCAACAAAATGGCCAGAACTGAATATGCCGGCGAGAAATTCATGCAGACGTACGTGATCTCCGCGCCCTACTTTCCATTGTAATGCATGCTGAAGACATATATAATTTATTATGGCCAGCGTCTCCCGAGAAGCATTAAACGAATGGCGCTCCAATCCGCTATTCCGTACCGTCTTCCACGAGACAGGCCGAATATCCGTCGCCTCGTCTCCATCAGACTACGAAGGGCTCCGGGAGTACTACCACGAACTCCTCCAATCGCCCCGCGCTCGCGACGTCCGCTGGCTTGACTCCCCAGAAGAGATCCACGCCTTTGCGCCGTACCTCACGGGCCCACTCGCCCAGGCCAAGGCCGTCTTCAACCCCGAGGGCGGCTGGGTGCACGCACGCAAGTCGATGGAGCTCGTCGGGGGCGAGTGCGTACACCTCGGCGTGCGGTTCATCACCGGCCCATCAGGAACAGCGAAGGAGCTCATTTTTAATGGTGCTCGGACGGCTGTTCTGGGTGTGCGCTGCGAAGACGGGTCGACATACCTCGCCGACCGGACGGTCCTCGCCGCGGGCGCTTGGTCGGACCTCCTCCTTGACATGGAGAACCAGCTCATCGCCAAGTGCTGGACCCTCGCGCACATCAAGCTCTCAGAGCCCGAGCGGCAGGCGCTCAAGGGCATCCCGGTGATCCTGGATGAAGAAAAGGGATTCTTCTTCGAGCCGGACGAAGAAGGCTTTGTGAAGATCTGCAACGAATTCCCCGGGTTCACCAACTATCAAAGGGTCATCCTCGACGGCAAAGAGAAGAAACTCTCCGTTCCGCGAGGACATGGCTCGCACCCGACCGATAGCATGCCCAGCCGCTCCTTCCAGGAAGTCCGCGAGCTACTCGACGTCCTCAAGCCAGAGTGGCGTGACCGTGATCTGCTCAACGCGAAGATATGCTGGTGCACCGACACGCCCGACCGCAACTTCCTGATCAGCCTCCACCCGCGCTACGGCAGGTCCCTCGTGCTCGCCACGGGCGACAGCGGCCACGGCTTCAAGATGCTGCCGACGGTCGGGCGGTACGTCGCGGACTTGGTGGAGGGCAAGGAAGGGAGCTGGAATGCGCTCGAGGACGGCACGGAGATGAGGGCCAAGTGGCGGTGGAGGCCGGACACCGCGGACAAAAGACCTGGGGACGATTCCAGACCGGGACGCGGGGGAGATCTTAGCGAGGAGGAAGGTTGGAAGGGGAATTTTAAAGGTACGGCACAAAGTCAAGACGATTCAGACATGTTAGTCTACTCATACATACCAAGTACAAGGGCCGGCCCGGTGATCTCGTCACTGGCGCTGGCTGTTATCCTGACTTCGCTAGTGTATTTCAGACCCTTGTGAACATCGAAGGGCTCCTCGACTGGACTGCAGTCAGATACAATGCGACTCTCCGTCAACAAAGTATCCGTGGAATATAGATATAGTGCACTGTATCTTAGCGACAATTTCAATAGTGTGGGTAGATAAGTTAGAACTCAATCCACAAGCAATCTCTACCTCAAGATACGTCTCGTCACACACTCCTCTTCCTCCACCTTCACTGGTTGTGCGTCCGTCAGCGCGTTAGTGAACAGCCTCGGGCGTGCGCATTTATATTGAATTCCGCCTTGCACTCTGGCCTTTCTTCTTACCTCCAGAGCCGAGATTGTGATCTTGGGCATAAACAGCGGGCAGTTTGTCCTCTTCGTCAAACTTCTCAAGCATCTCTATAGCGGCTCTGTAGCCTTTCTCCTTGATCTCTTCGAACTTGCTGAATTGTAAAGTGCCATACTGTCAAGGAACCGATGTCAATCGTATTTTCGCGCGTGACGGAAAGACCTACCTCCTGCACAGGCAATTGCATGTAGAGGCAACCTTCCGTTACTTTTGCCTCCTCCAGAGTCTTGACGCTTGAAACGCTGTTCCAAGGTTACAAGTTGCACCGATGATGTGAAATGAAATCAACGTACTAGGCAAGGCGACTCTGTATCTCAGTAATTGCAGGTATGCTCTTGGCACTAGAGAAAGGATTCCAGCGGTTTACGAGGAGCCACCATCCAGACACCGAGTCCCCGAAATTCCGCGGTGAGTTGTCGTCGATCTTTGAATTGATCAGAAAGGCTTATCGGGGAACACGTGAAGGCTGCGCACCGCTCCGACATCGACAGCGAATACAGCACTAGCTCCAGTCGCGAACATCGCGGCTACCTGTCGCACCCTTTAGCTCGACCCGATAATTACAGCACTGCGCATACCGGTAAATTGTCCACTGCATCGCGAAGCAGTCAGCGGCCCCTCATCGTGTTTCGCAACACTCAACGTACCATATCCTCCGTCAACAAGCATATTGCCGTTGTCGCAGAGAGGAGGCAACAAACCAACCAACGTCATCGAGGCACCTTAAAACGACGTCAGTTTACAATGGCATACTAAGTGCAAAGCAACCCACGAATAAATCTCCATGCATAGCCCGAATCGTGGATCTGCATCCGAGAGGTCGTGATGTTGGTAGTATTGCAAAAGTACGGCAACCACATGTCTTCTATGTGCAAATCATAGAACGCCTATGTGGAACACATCAGGATGACCCAGTTGGTACAAGTTTCGCATCTCTGTCTCACCTTGTATATTGCGCGGTTGAATTCATGCCCCTAAGACGAGACATTCATCGAAGGCCTTCACCAAAGACAGATTCGACGTACAGTCGTGTATGCCACTAAAGGATACGTGACATCGGACAGCATTCTCCAAATGTTCCCCATCCTTCCACTGAATTGCTTTGCCCGCCCTGAAGTCGATAGGATGTCTCCCTCTCGAGCGTAAAGACCACCAATAAAAGAGCCAATACTCGTTCCTTCGATGATGTGTGAAGGGCAGTCATATGGTGCCTTCGGAAGACTCACCAGCTATGTGGTCGATCGGAATGCCGAACTCTTCTAACGCTTGGATGACGCCCTACTGAGCGTCAGAGAGAGAAATTCATATAACATGTGCTATATCACTCACTATGTGGGATATGCCTCGAGCGCCACCACCACCAAGGACCAATCCGATGGATTTCCCACAGATTCTCCGAGCAAGGCGTGCAAAGTCGTTCGTATTTGGCGGCCGTTGCGGTCGTGCGTTGGGCGCTGTTCTGCGAATCTTCTGGATCTCACTTTGCACTCGATCTTTGAGATTCTTCAACGCAGTAACAGCGGCCGGGTCCTGATGTGGAACTGCCTTGGGTGGAGGAAGGACTATGCCCTATGAAGTCCATGAATGCAAGGGAGTGAACAATATTAGAGTTTAACACCTACCGGAAGTTCAATGTGGATATGGCGATGGATCCATGGGCGGTTCTGGGATGTACATGAAGGATCATACAGGAATTAAGTTTCGTTGCCTCATACCTTCAACCACTGTCTAGTGAGCCCAGGAATAACAAAGCGTTCGGGGTGTAATAAAACAAGTTCCTTGCGAGCAGTAGTCTTCATGGACAGCAGCAAACGTTCATATTCGCCAATGCTGGCGTCGTCACCCATACCAACCACCATAACACAATCGGCCTGCAATGACCGGTCAAACGTCTGCAGAGACTGTTGGAGGAGAGGGTTATCTTACCTGACGAATGCATGTCTGCGTCCAGGCACTGCTAACAGCAGAGTCCGCGACATATAAGACAATACGGTACCGTTGTTCCTGGTCTGCTAACCACCCAGCTGCCTTCAGCTTGCCCATCCTAGTAAATGCATGCCGACCCAGATGATTTGAAACAGAAGCTTGATTGAGGTAGGATGTTGGAGCACCAATGGCTTCCAGGGCAGACTGCAGTTTCCGAGCGAAAGCTTCGACCGGAACATTTCGAGTAGAAGGGAGGATAGCCAGCGTCTTCAAGTTCGTGTTGCTATTGTTCTTTCTTGATTTTACATTACTATTCGAAGACGAATCGACTTCGTCCCTGACTCGGGAGGCAATCATTCGTAGAATCCTGAAGCGCGGTCAGAAGTTGCACGAGTCGTAATTCTTGTTAAAGACTAACTGCGCTGTGGTCTTAGGACTCCTTGATACAAATAACCGGCGTTAGCGGTCGAATATCAGGAATACAAACGAAAACTAAGCTAACCGGGTAGATATTGCATTGAACAGGGTCTGAGGCATACGGATCAACTCCGTATCACGAATGGCATGAACCGTAGTACGGCGTCTCGAGCTAGTGATAACGTCGAGCTCTCCAACGGTGTCGCCCTGTCCGTACTCGCCTACAATAGTTACCTCACCGTTGTCTTTCTCAGTGATGGCTCGCAGACGCCCGTTGATTACGATGTAGAAGCTATCGCTGACGTCTTCAGGGCGCCACAAAACGTGGCCTGCGTCGATTTGCATCCAATCAAGCGCTGAGTCGAGATGAAGAACTGGTCTCCAGCGTTAGCGAGAGGATAATAACCACGCACGACAATAAACATACCTAGAGGCGATAGGAGGGATATCAGGCGTTTCGCTAGAGTAAGAAGCACAATCGGCCGCTTCTCAAGTAACCGCTCCATAGCGTGTGACGGCAGGAATCCGACATATGTGTCCGTCTTGGCCTTTATCTCTATGTAGGATGGAATGTTGCATAGCGATGCTGCAAGAGAACGTGGTAAGCCCGGGCTCACAGCTCTCTGTATCAACATACCTAGATAACCTGCAATGCCTCCGGGCTTCACTGTGAACAAAGGTTTGCTCTGGTTCCGGGGTTCATGTCCTTTTTCTTCCCTGAAGTACGAGGTATCCGATGACTTTCGAGCCGAAGATGTATCGAAACCGGACCCTCTCGACCTTTCCTTAGGATGCGAGGGCTCGTCTGCAGGAAGAGATATCTCCAGTATACCGTCGATGACGTAGAACAGGCCTGATATAGTGACCTGATTATGGGGAAACACACATATACAGAGCCTCACTTACCCGTATTGCTCTCGCCAGCCTTCACTAAGGTGGACCCGGCCGCGAAATAGAGAATCTCTACTTCGTTATCGAGTCCCGTGGGGTACCCGTTGGTTTCGCCTGATACCGACCCACCTGTCATACTAGAGACATCATCTCCCATATCCAGGAGGGTTAAGGACCCGAAGGGTCCTAACGGTCCATTTCGAGAGCGGGCTCCATCAGCCGCAGCCATAGCGGGTGAGGTAGGAAGGGAATCCTCGGCACTTAGAGGCGGTTGTAACAGACCAATGGACTTAGCAATGCATGACATTACCTCTTCCCTGAGGTCGAAGTCATCCCCAGACAAGCGGGCAGTGTTAGGCTGAGGCGACTTCCTATCTGCAGTGATCGTGTCTCTGCGGGACATATATGGAGTATTGAGAACGCTCAGGTTCCGACGGAAAGGTCTTGGCTCGTCGCTAGCGTGGGTTGTGGAACTATGGAGATCCCCTGGTTGTACTTGATGGCGGGACGAATTACCTTTGAAAGGAGTATAAGCAGAAGATCGCAGCGGAGTCGGGGAATCAGTCAAGGTGGTTTTTGAGGCTGCTGGCGTCTTTGTATTCAGGTCAACAGCAGTAGGCGAAGACGAATAGCTAAAATAATCCTGATCCGAGTCCGATGAGGTCGCAGTAGCTACGCCGTCGAACCGTTGACGGAGATATTGTAGACCTCCACCTTCATAGAAGGAGTCGGGGAGAGGATGACAAGCTATATCATTGATGGCCTTCTCCGTTCGCAAGACTTCGCTTGTCAGGCCTAAGTACTTGTGTGCCGCATTGAAGGTTACGCGGGAGAAACGGGTGAGTATCACTACAGCAGTTCATTAGTCAAGACGTATGTTTTGATTTACACAAATCAGCACCTTGAACAATATGGGCAGTTGCCTTCGGGTATTTCTTGGTCAATCTACGGAACGCTTCGGCAGGAATGACAGCTAAAGTAGAGTCTTCCACAGCGCGGGCGACAACGCCGTAGTGAACATCGTCTGGCGGGGTGTCTCTCTTACTTGGCGTGGATCGGTGCCCACTGGACTCATCATCATGGGGGTGGGATGACGTGCTGCTACCCTGAGGGGATACAATCATCTCCAAGCCATGGACGGTCGACGAAGAAGAAACAGAGCCTCGCCGACTAGGGGTCCTCAGGCGGTTCACCGCCAGATCCAGCTGCGATACGTCTGAATCCGCCCGCCTTACGCGGGTTCGAATGTTGTGATAAGCCACAGGATGGGCGGCGGGGCTATGGACATCGTCACTCTCCCAGCTGATCTTCACGTCCTCAGTAAAAAGGCTAAGGATTGTGAAAAGACTGGAGAGAGTGCCGCCATTCTTAACCTCGTTAAGAAGTTGGTAGCCGTTCATGTCTTCCTCATCCCAGGATCCACCCGAAGGCTGATGAACTTCCTGGCCCGTCTGCGCATACACCTGAACGGTGCCATCCACAACACAGTAGAAGCTTTTGTCTTGGTCAAGAGAGAGACTATCGCCGGCAACCAAACGCCTTGTTTGTAGATGCCTCGCAAGTTCATGGAAAACCTGTACTTCAACATATGAAATACGCCTTTACGTGATGCGTTGTACATACCGGTTTCTCCAAGAATCCGAACACGCGAATAGCTTGCAAGAATTCGTCCAAGTAATTGTGGAAGGCAGGTGGTGCCTCAGGCGTATTGACATCCGGGTGCAGCTCCTGTGCGTCCGGTTTCAACAGTGGAGGTTCTTTCAGCGTGGCATATGTATTGAGGTAACGGAACCGTATCCAATAGTTCAGAGCCACAGCAAACAAAACAAATAGGATGGCGAAGGACCAGAAGTTCAGCTGAAGACATGGCGAGGATGTAAGTCGCATTCGCTAAGAAAACATATGGACGTCACTCGCCGTCAATGTCATGGAGTATGAAAGCGCAGAGTATATGAGCCTCGGGATAGTAATAGTCACAAAGCCCATCAAGGCCTTCACCCAGGACAATAGCCATACTGCGCAGAGTTAGCCTCCGTCCGCTCGCGTAGATGTAGGCAGACGTACGGACGACCCAGAAGCACGCTGAGAGCAGATAAACTAGAGGATGGCGTTCATTGATCTCAAGCCTCGGAGGATTTGAGGCGTCCATCGCGTCTGTCAAAGATGGACGCGAACGTGCAGAACAGCTTCAGCCTCAGCCTCTGGAATTGCGCTCGCAGTCTAAGATGAAGTTGTACATAATCTGCATGACGTCTATGCAGGATTTCACATGATACATCTAAGCTCGTACTGACAGTGATCGACTGATCCAATGTCAATGTTTACATTCCTTTCAGTGTAACTGTAGTACATCTCCGTAGACGAATAAATGGTAGCATCAAAGCTGGTATAAATACCCGATCCTCCGCACGCAGAGAATATAATACATGAATATTCATTGTACAGGAAGATAGGTTTAGTGACCGACAAGTCGCAGAAGAAGGTACATGGCGGAGCCGAAGAAACGAATAGCAGATAGACCCGCCCTAATCCCTGGTGAATATGGGTCGTTATAAGACGAAGAAAAGACTCACAATGCGAAGAAGAGGAAGGTGAGGTATGGGTTGAACGAGGAATCGTCGGTGGTCTCGACATGCTCGTTGACCCAGTTGAGGAAGGCTTCGGAAGTGAAGACGAGGATCATGAGCCTAAGCAGCGTACCGTCAGCTACGTACAGAGTGAATGACAATATCCCGTACATGTTTGTGCCGACCCAAGCAAGGACAACGTTTGTCCGACTGTTACGATCATGATCGGACTGCTTGGTAGCGGCGTCACGGTGTTCTTTCTCTTCGACAGGTTTATGCCTAAGAGCATTTCGAGAGGCGGACCATAGCTGGTCGACATCTTCCCGAGCGGTCGGTAATTCCACTTCCATCATATCATTACCCTTGTCGTCCTTGACTTTCTTTGCTCCCCCAAGATCTTTGGCTGCACCGTTGTCACCTTTCGTACCCCTGCCGAGGACGTCTCAGAAAACACGGCTCACGAAGGAGCAGGAGACATACCAGGTCACATCATGCAAGTTGCACATAGCATACATCACTGTACATAGTGGTCAATTTAGAAGAGGGCAGAGTGAAAGAGAAGCCCTACTCAGGATGTTGACGTCTAAATTCACGATTAGTGAGACGCTGTATCAATTTACCTGGAAAGTAACTCACAGCTCGGCAACAAGAACATATATTGGATGAAGGAAGTGAACATGTGCCACGGTTCGAAATGCATGAAGGATGCAATGAAATACAGCCCGTAAGTAGCAGCCAGGGAAATGACAATCTCGCGGAACGCCTTGTTGTTTTCGACAAGCCTTGAACAACTATGTTCAATCATTCATCTTACACGCGAGCATCGGTGACTTACTGCCCGAAATGCTCCCACCCACTAAGGGTATGGGGTACCGCCATGTAGACAGTGTATCCAGCGCACCAGAGGGTGATACAGTTGCATATGCCGAAAAGGACCATGCAGAGAGAATAAGTCCATTTGGAACCCTGTATCGCAGTATATCGTGAGACTTGGGAGAGACCGGCATCGGCGAGTCACCCTACCTGAGGCCGGTTACCGAGAGAGCAGACCAAGACGACGAAAATAAGAGCGATATAGAGCTATGATGAAGAAGCTCGTCGGCATACCAGCAAGTAACCCTAAGCAAAACTCTCGTACCTTCAGGAAGACCTCAAATACGTCTGCACCGGCTCCCTTACTGAGGAAGTTGAATGCATCACTATTGCTCTTCGTAGCGGATGACACCAACTGCAAGTGTCCCTTGTCAACACCTTATATTCCTGGTTAAGTCATGATAACTCACGAAGAAGAAAGCCAGGTAGAAGTTTGCCAAAGACGTCCACGAGAAGAATAGCTGGACAGCATTGTAGATGAACTCGAGCTGCAGCCAACACTTCCGGAAGAAGTTTTGTCCGGAAGTCCAGATGCGGAACCAGAAGACGGTGGCATGGATGGATGCGAAGAGGGAGCCGTTGAGCCAGCGACGACGTTGCGAGATGAATTCCGCCACGGTGGTGGGACAGTCGGTCGCAGCTGTATTCCGAAGTCAGCGCACGTGTCCAACAGAGACTGTTACATATACTATACCTTTGGCAGACTTCACGTACTTTAACCTGTCGATATCATTAGCGATATGGTCGCAAAGGGTAATAACATATCTTACACCCAGCCTTCACGCTTCTTGGTGACAATTTCGAAGCACAGGATACGATCCTCAGCCAGATACATGTTCCGTTCTACGTCCATGTCAGGCACTGATTTTATTAGATAGAGAGAGTCCACTGACCGAACAAACCCGCGCCATCCGCGCCACCACCATGCATGGCCTCGCCCTTGAAGTAACTGGCAAGCGGACCCTTGCCGTCCGGCCCGTTCTGGAGGGCCTTGTAGCGGTAGGCAGAGAACGCTCCTGGTAGCACACTGATGTAGCCGAAGACACTCTGAAGGTTGCAGAATTGAATAAAGCTACCAAAGATATAGCAGGGAACACAAACCTCAAGTGGCTTATCGAGGATGTTCGACATCTTGTACTACGGAAACACCGCTTCTTGATCAGCACGCAAGGAGAGCTATTGGACAGCACCAACCTCGAAGTTCTGAGAAGCGGCCAAAGGGCTCGATAAGATCAGAGAGCAACCTCTGCCAGTGTCGACACAAATCCTGTTGCAAAACGTCAGTAAACGGTGATATCAGTTTCGTAGGGAGTTAGCTCACTCTCCGCAAGCACCACCAACGTTAGCGTGTTTGTCGAAGCCTTAGAAAAATATCAGCACAGTCCGAACGCGACGTGAAGGAAAAGATGTGGTAAGGACGCACATTTCCAGAGTTCGTAGATAGAAGTGCCGGTTGGTTTGGTACCTACGTCAAGCAGGACACACACTGACAATGGGACATTTGAGCAATCATTCATACCTCACAATGACGGAAGCTTACCGTTGGGCTGGATCAGTGGTCCGAAGGCATTAAAGAACCACCTGTGACTGTTCAATTTCTTCTTGTTCTGTTCCTTCAGGCAAAAAATTATCTGCACAGGGCATCCTCCTTGGGAGACTTCTCCGGTCTCGCTCACTACGACGCTGGAGGTGTACTCGAAGATATGGGCGGTGACGTCCTTGCCTCCAACTTCGTCTTTGGCGATACCCTCTTGGTAGCACCCCATCTAGCAGACATCATTAAGTTGGCACTTCATACTTATGAACTGAACTAGGTACTTACGAGAGTCAAGACTTGAAGAGTGCGCTTGTTCACTTTGTTCCGGCCATCCGACACGACGCAGACTACGACCTTCTTCCAGCCGTCAGGACCCCATGTCTTGGATTTGTTGCGGCTACAGAGATGGGCGATGTTCTTGATGACGCTGGGATGATGTCAGTATCTTTTCGAGAACAGACCGAGGAAGGACTGACGCATTCATGGTCTTGGTGAACAGCACTTCATCCTCGTTGTACATGGTCATCACGATGAAGAGCTCCGTCTTCCGTCCGTACAGATAGGGCCGGAGGGAGTACTTGGAGCGCATGAACTCATCCGGGTCGCAGGTAGCAGCAGTGTATCTCATGGTACTCATCTCCTCGACCTTGTCCTGCCCAGCGGGGACGATATGGGATGGCACGGGCACATCCAGTACCAGATTACCCTGTTGGAGCGCTACCTGTCTGACAGACCGGCGCTTCATTAGCTTGTCTCTGGCTGAGGACCAGCCAGCGCTGCTTTGGTCCCGCATCATCCCAGGCCTCTGGTAAGGGGGGTAGTTGCCCTGCCCACCGGCGTAGGGCATTGTCGGGAGGGGTGGCGCATTGGCGAGCGAGACCTGGCTCATCTCATACTGGGGATTGAGATGCGCCTGCGAGCTGGCGTAACCAGTTTCATAGGACTTTGTCGACTTCGCGTCCCAGGTGGATTGAGCTTCATAATCCTGGTGATAAGGTTGAGCGAACCCGCCAGCGGGTTGCACAGGGGGATAGTCCACGGCAGCGGGAGCCTGCTGGGGATAATCGGGGTAACCGTTGTGGTTGTTGTACTGGCTTCCATAGTAAGGATCGTGGTTCTGGCGGTACGCCATCTTGGTATCTGTCGCGCGGAGCGCCGAAGTCTAGGCCGCAGTTAAAGCGAAGGGTATACGCCGGAGACGCAGCTCTCGTCAACGCAAAGCTAGCGAGCGAATGGATAGCCTGACGAGGCCGATGGGGGAGGGAAAGGATAGGAAGCCAGGGAAGACAGTCACTGAAGGGATTGGAAGAGCACAGCGACGCGAACATGATATTGCCTCTTTTAGAGTGGCTGCGCAAAGATAGTCCACGCGCTCTGCTCTAAATTAGCGGGCTGTTTCGACCGCCAAGTACCTTGCCGCTGTGCCCGACGACGGCAGGCCTCCTCTGCCCTCTCCGAGCACTACTGTACCAAATATTCTGTTGACGGTCTATCGTGGCAACCCTTATTCGTGTCCGTTCGCGGGTCTTTTCACTACCATTGGCGCCCTGCAATTGGGTTCTCACTCAAGCGAGGCTGTCAGAGGGTCGCAAGAGCGGGCGTTTTGTCCTTTCGATGGCCCTCAGGTCTTCTGCAGATGGGTTGTGCTGAAGGCGTCCTCGGTCTTTCCTCGCCGTGTTGTTGTCGACCAGTAGACGCTCAGGAACATAGCTGCCTCAGTGGCTTGATCATTACTTGACTGGGGAGTTACACTGTCTCAACGCGTGGTTTACACCTCGCATTGAACGCGTTCCTCAGGGACACTCCGTCGCGGTCGCGCTGTGCTTTCCTGGATGAGGGAAACGACACCTCAATTCCGATGTTCTATGCGTGGGAGCACATCGGACAACTCAATATATGATGCTGACCTGAACCCGGTCGTGAATGTCAAACCGTAAGAAGTAATATACAGCCAAAGCAATATGTAATACTCATTTTGAGATTGTTTAGTCCAGCAATAGACAGTAAGGAATATCAAATATGACATTAGCTGCCGTTAAGGGGAATATATCTGCCCGTAGGCAACCTTTCTCTCCATGTTATATGTGATGACATATAACATATATGGGGACGGTTACCACCCGAGAGTTATAACTTAAGTATATAATGAGAGTGTACGCAACACAGTATTCCAAATATGGCTCAGCATATGGGTACTTGTGATATAATTTACCAGATTCACGCATCAGAATCCACTTCAGCCTGTGAACAATATGTCATATATGGCTTTCAATCGATATTGAGTGGGCCGCCGGCGGCAACAGGCGGCGCCACTCAGCGGCAACAGG